AATGGCGCTTAACCTGTTTGAGTACATACACATCACGTCAGTAAGTAAGCTGGAGAATAAGGACATCCTGGTACGGTTTTTTTCTTTGTTTATAAACAAAACATTTTAACGCTATAATCATATCATATATAAATATATATGTACAGGGTGGGCCAATAAAAGTGAGAACATCTCGTAAAATGTGATTTAATCACATCAAATTTAGTTTGACAATACCCAAACTAGCTTAAATTCGTTGAGAAGCAAGGAGGACACATTGAACATGATTTCTGATTAGCTAAATATTTTGCAAAAAAAAAAAAAATTCCATGAAGAATTATAATTAATTAAATTATATTTTGAAATAACTCATATCCTACGAGATGTTCTCACTTTTATTGGCCCACCCTGTATATATATGAGAGGGAATGAGAGAAAGAGAGAGGGAATGAGAGAAAGAAGGAAAGAGAGAGAGAGAGAGATGTGGGAGACGAGAGAGGAGAGAGAGTGGAGATTAGAGAGGAAAAATATCGAAGGAGAGAGGGATGGAATATAGAGGTAGGGGAGGGAGAGGGAAGGGTGACAGAGGGAGTAAAAAGAGGGAGGAAAGAGAGAGAGTAAGGCGAGAAGACTAAAGAAGAAGAGCGAAAGAGAGAGGAGCAAGAGATGAGAGAGAGGCGAGAGGGGATGAGAGAGGAGTTAGAGAAAGAGAGGCGGTGAGAAAGCGAAGGGCGAGAAAAAAGGGTGATCAAGCAGAGAAAGTGTAGAGAGAAGAAAGGATAGAGAGATGAGGGAGGTGAGAAAGTAGGGAGAGAGAGGGGAGGGAGAGAAGAGAGATAGGGAGGAGAGAGAGGGACGAAAGTGGGAGGAGAGAGAGGGAGGGACAAAGACAGATCGAATATGATTTTTCATTTCGGCAAAAAGCCGAAACCAAACCGAAACTTAAAAAAACTTTCAACCAAAACTAGCTGAAAAAAAAATCTTAACGAGACTTTCAGCCGAAACCGAAAGATTTAGACACTTCAATTAAAAAAGAGATCATCATGAACTCTACAAAATAAACATCTAAGCTAAGGGGTCGTTCGCAAATTACATCATGCAAAAAACGGCCTTTTGCAGACCCTCCCCTCCTTCCCTCTGTCACAAAATGTCATAAATTCTTTATCCCCCATACCCCCCACCCCCCAGTGTCACGTCACACTTTAAAAAATCAAAACATTCATAAAATGTGCATAACTAAACTAAGATTTTATTTTATTCTTTAACATTTTCCCGTAATGGATTGAGATGTAGTATTAGTTAGAAAACTGTGACGTAAAACGCAAAACAAAGAAGTCCTCCCGAGCCGAATGTAAGATTGCCACGACAGTTTTTGCGTCTTTTTTCGATATGAGTTTCACGGTAATTATCATACTTAAGGCAATTTCGTCCTGAAATTAATGTTTTTTAAAACTTAATTGAATAAAGATTTTTCAAAATTCTCGACCCCCCCCCCCCCAAGAGCGTGACGTAATTTGCGAACGACCCCCTTTGATAATAGAGTACTACAACAACATTATTATATTTAATACATAACATGTCACAAAGAATATAATTATACGAAACTGTGATACTCGCACACGTGTGTGAAGGCTTGGCATTTAAAGGCATCTTAATGCCTAATTATAAATACATTAATTGAAATAAATCATTGAATTTCTTCAATATTACTTAAGTTTCATTATTCCCTTTCTTTACATTTGCGTTCATATCAGTGACAGGAAATGTTACACAAGGAATGACGTCAGCGACCCAATGCCGTAGCTCTTATGAACCCCCCTAACTCACAAGAACTCCCCCCCCCCTCTTTTCTCTCCTTTTTACAGAGGGAGGTGTCGCGATGCAGCTCCCCCGAGATGTTTCGCCCTAGTGGGAGCCATGGCCGCTATGACCTCCTCCGACACCCATTGGGGGGGGGGGGGGCAAAGAGGATCCAATCTTTTGAGTCTGAGCAAATAGGGAGAATCTTTACCGGTACCTTACGAGAAGGATTCCTCAGAGGAAGAGAGGGGGGATAGTCTTCCACAAAGCAGACTTTACATAAGGGGTCTCATCTGCAAAGCTACAGGAAGAATTTGATCACATGCTTTTAGACTTCAATACACAGAGCAACTTTTTAGCTTTTCGCTGACCCTTTCTCCTTTAATGTGGAAGATGCCCGCCCCCCACCCCCCACACCCTTGTGCTTCAAATGGAGCTGATTGATCTTCAGTGCAATTCTAAGTTCAGGGAGTTGAACGGAACAACAGACAAGCTTGAACAATGTATGAGAGTATAGCCCCCCACCTTCCCTGAGATTTCCAAGTTGTTAAAGCGGATCTTGTGCCTTTTTGGGAGTACCTATCTGTGTGAAAAGCTCTTTTCCACTATCAAATTTAAAAGGTCAAAGTTCAGGGACAAACTTACTGAAGAGCATTTTTTAGCTATACTGAGGGTCTCAGTTGCTTCCTCATTCAAGCCAAAGTTGCTCAGCTGTGCAAGAATAAGCGATGCCAGGTCTCTGGCAACAATGAGTAGGAGAAATAAAGTGAAGCCGACTTCTTTATAACCCGTAATGCTTTAATTTGTTATTAATAAAGGTTGAGCAGATTGTAACAGGTGTACTTAAATGAATTTGTAATCGCCTTTGTTGCGGCCGAGTCTCACTCAGACTCTACCTCCTGCGGCCACGGATGATTTGAGTTTGAGACCCCTGCTTTACATTATAATGGACCAATAGCTAGGTTCAATTATAATAAAATTATTATATAGATGCAAAATGTCCTTGATTTAAAAAAAAAATAACTACAGTGATTTTGAACTTGTGACATTCTTTCAATGATCAGTCAATATCCATTGCCGAGCAAAAAAAATCTGTTATTTTGTATTGAGGTAAAATTTTATAATTGCATATTAAAAAAAAAAAAAAAAAGGAATAATCCCAATTTGTTAGAAGTCATTATAAGCCTTGAAGGCATCGGCCTTAATTCGCTAATGGACAGGCCAGCTTTAAGTTGTTGATCCATCTGTGTGGCGAGAGCCATCCTGGATATATTTCCAAATCCAGGATTTCCTTAATTTTATTTTGTTCATTGGTCCTTCTATTTGGAAAAAGCCTTAAAATTAAAGACAGCTACAAGAGTGCATTGTTTTGAAAGTGCTATGTCGAATGAATAATGTAAGTTTGTAACAACTGCTCTGATTCTAAAAATTTTATTTTAGATTTAGATACATCCCCGCGCAAAGGGAAAAGCTCCCCCCCCCCCCCGGGCAAAGCTTGAAAAAATGTCAGCCATTTTCCAATTGTTAAATTAATAAATCAAATAATAAATAATAATATATATCATTGACGATTTTGGCGCCCCTCTGTTGTTGGCGCCCTGGGCAGCTGCCCCCCTTTGCCAACCATTCGCACCCCCACACACTTTTTCGCAAATCCTTTTTAGATAGTTCTGTATCGGTGTCGGGGGATGGGGGTGTAGGCAGTACCTATTAAATTAGGGCTTATATTAAGGTTGAAATACATTATTCCACGTCACTGCTGACAGGGCCGGTAAAAAAGCAAGCCCAACAAGGCAGTCGCCTAGGACGTGTGTGGTGGGTCGTAGCTGCGCAATTAGCTCGCCTTGCCCAGGGCGCAAAATAGTCTGGCACCATCAACAAAAGAATTCCAGACATCACATTACTGGACAGGTTTCTTCAACTCACCTAAGTTTCGTGTCGTACTTTTTTTGCGTCTTTCTTCAGGTAGGCCAGTACCTTGGTTGGCCCCGCTTCCTTTTAGTTGTGGGAATTCCAGAGAAGTTTTGCCCTGGTGATGTTGGTTGTGGCGTTTTTACAGCACGTCGTCGACCACGTCCGTCTTCTTTGAGAAGATTTCATCTTCCTAAGTTCCCTGTTTAGTACATTAACATAGATCTTATCTTCATGTGGTGCTGGGCTATATAATCCATTAACATAGATCTTCTCTTCATATTGTTTTGGGCCTTTGAATCCATTAACATAGATCTTCTCTTCATATGGTGCAGGGCCATTGAACCCATTAACATAGATCTTTCTCTTCATACGGTGGAGAATTGAATCAATTATTACATAGATATTCTCTTCATATGGTGCTGGGTCTTTGAATACATTAACATAGATCTTCTCTTCATACGGTGGAGAATTGACAATTCATTTGCGGCCCTCTCGGATACTACTTCTAAGCTAAGTGCTATTTTTTAATTTTAATTGTATTCTGTTTTTTTCTGTTGTTTTGTTCGCTGATGAAGGTTTCCTGCCGATACGTTCGTTGTTTTATTGCGTTCCTTTCCCCCCAGGTTTAATCCTACTTTGTTTTACTCATTTTACATTGTGCTAACCTGATAGCAGTCTCTCCCCTTATTACCATCTGCCATAAATGGAATAATATGTGAATGTGAACGTGACGATGTTGATAAGGAATCTGATTATTAATTTTATATAACTACTGACATTTTATTTAGATCTTTAAACATTGACTTAAACATTCTTTCCGACATCCCTACAGCCTACGGAAAGTCGAAATTACATAATGTATGTCATGATGTATGTTGATGGGGCAAGAAAATGATTTATTTTTTTTCGAAACAGATTTTTTTTTTTTAAGTTGTGCCTTCCGATGACTTATAAATTAAAAGAAATGTTTAGTTGTGACAGAATGCTCTTGTAACTGATGCAACCTCGTCGTCTGTCTCGTCAAAATGGATTTATTAATTAATCATTAATTTAGTACATAAAATATATATAAGGTTATGAACAGTGGAAGAGTGAATGAAATTATTTTCTTTTACAAAGAAAGGCGAATACATATTTTTGCTGTGACCTCACCTGTTTTCAGCTTTGTCAACAAAGCACACCGAGATAGTTGGGCATGTAAAATATTTAATTTATTAAATGTCATAGTTAGGGTGCTAGACTTAATAATAAGAATCTGAGTGTCAATCGTTTTTAAGATATTGCTTCAAACGAAGCCGGTAAGCATAAACTGTTTGATCTAAATTAGGCTATATTTTTGTCACACTAGCATGATTCAGGATATTTTCAGTCGGTGAACTCAGTTCACTCAACTCACTGGGAATTGAATGTGTACTGTGTTATGTAAGGTGATTCAGCACTTTCTGATTACTTCGTTCAGTATAACAGAACAGGGCTGTATTTCCAACTTTTTGCCAACTCTTGAGTATTTTATGTAAACGTAAGTTTGACGTAATTAATTGCTTCTTTATAATTATAATAATATATATTTAAATTATTATGCTGACCACCCATTCACATTTCACATTGGATTTGGAATCATCCGGTAAAATCATTCTGTTAAAAAGTGACTTCGATTTTGATTCATTTATAATTATTCATATTCTGTCAATGATTCAATTGTTATTCATACTAGCATAAAAAATAGTAATACTAATAGTAACTTGTACCTACTAATCATAATGATACTTGATACAATTTTAATACATTGATGACTGTCAATAATACATTTTGCCTATCCACTATCCTATGCCTATATTATATATAGATAATAGTAATAGACTAGACTAAGACTAAGATTGTTAGAAGATTGAGACTACCGGCATAGGCCTACATTGTAATAAGGGGAGAGACTGCTTTCAGGTTAGCACAATGTAAAATGAGTAAAACGAAGTAGGGTTAAACCTGGGGGAAAAGGAACGCAATAAAACAACGAACGTAAGTAAAAGTAAGCAAAACTTTTTCCTTTTTCAAATGACAAATTTAGCCCTTTGATTTTGACTAGGTTTTAAATTAATCAGTTACTGATTTAGTCTACTTATTAATCACATTGGCCATAATAAATAGCAGGAATACAGTAAATGTTTGATGTGTCAGTGATCAAATTAAACTTCATTCTTTGGTAATTTCATTCATATTTTCATTAATTCTGAAATAGACAAGATCCAATGCCGATGCTATTGTTCAAATGTTTTTATCACATCAAATAAACTTGGTGTCTGTGCCATCAACGCCTTAATGCTGGCCACCTGAAAATGCTGTTATTTATATGCTGCTATTTATAGTGCATATTTGCTTTACACCATCCTGAAAAAATATGTACACAAACTAAGCATTTTAAGGTATATTATATTAAGCACTATACTCAAAGAAACTGGACATAGAGTTAAGATTACTGAGGTCGGTATATAATGCAGCATTTATGATTGACATGTTCAGGTCACAAACATAAAAGCATGAAGGTGATTTTAATAACAGATCCAGAAAATAAAGATGTATTAATTACAATAGCTTGCCCCTGACTTTTTAAATATTTTAGTTTATTTACTTTAAGTCATATATATTAAGTGGACATTTTGTTTTCTTTTTACTGGGGATTTCTGTCTATTCAACTCGACAGTCTTGTTTAAACCCGAATCTTGATACAACTCCATACATTTTTTTGAGCAGTCACAATTTTAACTTTTACATGCTTCAAATACATAATCCAAGTATATAAAACAAGTTCATAGGCAGACTGAAAGAACTCCATTGAGATTTTCAAAAACATAAGTTTTTAATTTCTCATTATTTGTTGTTTCTTGTTTTGTCTAGTCTGCTAAAGACATTTAGCCGAAACGTCCTTTTAATGTCCTGTATTTTTTTTTCAAGCCTAAACATATCTTGTTCCACTATTTATTTTTCAGTTTTAAGGTGCCCCCCCCCCCCTTATATTATCCTTCATTTACTTTTTTATTTCCTTTTTTTTTTTTTCAGCCCAAACATTTCTTGTTTCCCTATTTATTTTTCAGTTTTTAGGTGCCCCCCCCCCCCCTTATATTATCCTTCATTTACCATGTTAGTCCTTTTTAAAAAGTTAAACCATATTGTTTTCAGAATAAATGGTAGATTAGTATATTATGACATGTGAAAGGCAGAAATGACATAGCTGTCATCAAGTCATTATTAGTAGTATGTAATTTCACCTATGGTATGCAAGCCTTGCATAATCTCTGACAATTAGGTCACTATGTTAATTATATTTTTAGGCTATGTTTGTTACAGTTGGCATAGATCATTCATTATAAAAGTTTGGGAAATCTATTAATTTGTGTTTGTCTAAACAAAGGTATGTCTCTGCCATGTGCATAATTATATATTCATAAGGAAAAATATTATCATACAAACTCATGTCCATTTAGATCTAAATATAATGCGCTATTAGAAATAGATTATTATATACTTTTAATCTTGCATGATTATGGAAGGCCACGCTGAAAAGTAAAAAGTTTAAAATATTGATCGCACACAACTTCATTACTAGTTCAAAAAGAATATGCAATCCACAGATTTCAACAAAAATTTTTTTCAAAAATTGCAAAGACCATTAATTTTTCAATAAAAAGCAAAGACTTCTTTGACTTGTTTGAACTGTTTTGTGAATTATCTAACAACTAATCACTCGCTGTTTCACTCATTTTAGCTCTGAAAATATTTTAATGATGTGATCAACTGAGCACTAGGTGTCAAATTATTATCATATAAGGCTTCAACTATGTTTCAGACTCTTGAGTTGTGAATGGGTCTGTTAACTGAGGGCACAGCTCTCTCTTGGGAGGAGACAAAGAAACACGCCGATCATGTTCGTAAACATGGCATCAAGCAGTTCCTGGCTCAGTATAGGAAGCTGATGGCTCGGAAGAAAGATGTTTTGTACTGGGGAGATGAGGTCAGAGCTGGTATTTGATCAATGAAGTGCCAATAAAAAATGTCATTAGTATTTAAAAATAATGCACAGTTAATGACATTTTCCATTATCCTTTTTTTTATCTCCCTGATTTTCTGCTTTAACTTGTAACTTCAGAAATGTAAAAAAATAGTTTTACGTGTAAAAAAATAGTTTTACTTTTTGAATACCTGTGATACTGGAGGTTGAGAGTTTAAAAAAAAAATTCTCCATAAATATTTAAGTCTCAACATTTTAACTTTGTTAAACTGAAAATAAATTTTAAATGGCAGCCAACTTGAATGTGTAAATGCAGGTTTTAGTTGCCTTGGTCGTATATCATCATAAATGCAAAAAATAATTTATTTAGATCTAAACATGGAGTTTATTTAGATCTGAACATGGAACAGATTTTCTTCAACAGGTTGAATATCAGTTGGTTAAATTTGACCATGTCAATAAAAAAGTTTATGTGGCCTTGAGAGCCCAGGATGTGCTCAAAGGACTGACTGAGAAAGTTCAACAGAAGTCGGAGTGAGTATTCTGTAAATTTTTCTGAACTGCTATTGCTTACCACTAATAAACTTTATCAGTAAAATAAAATAATTCACTGTTCAAATGTGAACCCGGGCCATTACTGTAGATTATATTGCTTATTAAATACATTATTTTGTATGGCTGATTTTTTTTTTTACTTCACTACATTTTATAGTGTGAACCATTTGTTCCATACCTTGTAGTGATGTAAATAATTCTTATTAATCTAGGCTTAGCTTTGGAGGAATCTTATTCTTGTCAAATAATTTTATTTGAAATGCATACTGATTCAATCTTACATGTCATTGTCTATGACAGGAGTGGCCTTTACAAACTGATTCAATCCCTTGTCATTGTTATGACGGGGGGGGGGGGGGCCTATACATACTGATTCAATCCTTTATGTCATTGTCTATGACAGGAGTGGCCCACCCAAAGGCTTAACAGCCCACTTTGTCAATAATTAATGTTTAGAAAATTGTATTAAATCTTAATGCACACAATTAACTTCATAATACCAAAAAAATATATAACTATCTGTGGTATCTTTTGCTCCCACTGAACCTTTTAAAATTGGTTTCTTTTTGAATGAAATGAAGCCTTAATGTGTCTGTGGTATATCGGCTTCCGAGGGACAGCAACATTCAACATTAGTGGCACGCTTGTTGGCACATGTCTTGTCATCTATTAGCGAACGGAATGTTTTATTTCTCAAAGTGTTGACCAGTATCATTTGGTGGTTTTTTTCCCAATCTCTCTCCACCAGCACATCTGCCTCCACCTCCTGGCATCCTGAATATGCAGAGTACATGGTGGAAGGCACACCTGGCAAACCCTATGGGGGAATGATAGCCCACTTCAACATAGTGGAGGCAAACATGTCTTTAAGGTGAGACCATGATACGCATTCAGAAAGGTTAATTTTTGTTCTGTGTCTAGTAGCATAGTTAACCACCACATTAGATCACTCAGTAAATGAATAAAAGAAGGAAATGTTTAATCTTTCAATAGTTATTCCATCAATAAGATATTAAGATATTTACAATTTCGTAAAGTTTTTATGAATCTTCTTTCAAGTATTCGTTGAAATTTTACAAGCCTAAAAAACTTCATTGTAAAGAGGAGCTACTTTAAAGTTGGGAAATTTTTCATTGACATGAAATAATATCCTGCCTGAACTATGAAAGTTCAATAGTATTGCATAAATAAGGTTTGCAATAATGAAACATATAGTGGGTTGGTCAATAATGTTTCTGTATTTCATGTAACGCAGGCGGCAGGAGATCCAAGCAGAGCTGAAGGAAGATGAAGCTCCACTCTCTCTCACCGCCTTCCCAAGGTAATAATTCCCTCTGAATCCTCCTCTCTACTCTCTTTTTTTATTCAGACAACCTTCTGTTATGACACTTGTACCTCATTAGAACAGCTGAAAACACAACCTCCTTCATGCGATTTCTTGTGTCAGTGGTGTAGCCCCTCATCAAAGACATCAAATATCTATTCTACTCCAAAGTGTATTTATTCTATCACAGTATTTTTGGGACATTATTTTAAAGATGGCATAAGCAGGGCATAGCATTCATTTTTGTTGTCAGGCCTGCTCCACTCAAATTAAAAAGGATTGCACAGCTCCCTAAATAAATGTGAGTGTAGGGCCTGTGAAATGGGCTATAAACCGCGAAGTTCAAGATGAAAAACACCTTTATTGAATCTTGTAAGTTTGGTGTTATATAGCCACTCTCCCTTTGACCAAATGTAACAGCATCAACTCATGCTGTCTGGTTTTAACTGGGTCACTTGTACCATTAAGTCATCATGTAGGTAGATCAGCATGCAAGCACTGTGTCTTAATATAAAACTGTTCAGTTTCACTATCTAATAAAAACTGTTCAGTTTCACTATCTGACCATTTGACCTGTGCCAGAAATCCTGTCACTTTGTAAACTGATCAGCCAGAGAGGAAGTGGTGCTCAAGATAAGACACCTGTGCTGAATCGACCCATTGCCCACACACAGTTACATCTCATAATAGGCTTTTGGTTCACCCAGTAAAACTTATGGCATTCATTATCAGTAAAAATAAAATTTTAAAATTTTTTTTTTTTTTTTAAGGCCCCCCCCCCCCCTATTTTTTTTAACCATTTTTTTTTATGGTTACATAATTGACTCCCCACTATTTTATCTTTAACTTTTAACAGTGGTGTAAAATGAAAAATATACATTGATGCCAACCTACCGGAATTGAAGGGAAGAACATAAGACTCCCATCAACAAATGATGGGCTTTAATACTTTTATTTTTTTCTTAATTCATTGTTGTCACCATTTTTTCAAGAAACATTTTTCCGAAACAGGAACAAAGTGATTGCCTCTTTATTCTTTGGGTCAAAGAAAATGTAAAGATGCCAATGGACATTTGGGAAGTTGTTTCAGAATTTATGAGTTTCATTAACTCTGGGTTGTTTTAATTTTTAACCCAATCTATTTTCTCCTAGGCTTGGCTGTGGAATTTTTACGTGGCCGGAAGCAAAACCTGATCCAGTGAGTGGAGTGTCAAGGTCACTGTTTTTTCCAGATGAGGCAATTAACCAGGGTCATGTTAGATTCAAGTAAGTTATCAGGCATGTAATTTCATTAGTATCGATTTCTCCACCTTCTCTCTAACTGCTGCAGAGCTAATTTAAAACAAAAGTTAAAAAATCAATAGGAAAAATAATTTCGTACATTTTTAAACAATTATTCATTTCAGAACTTTAACCAGAAATATCAGAACTCGGCGAAAAGAAAAGGTAGCCATCAATGTACCAAGTAGGTTAACATTAAACATTTTTTAAACCTTGTAAAAGAAGACAGAGGGTTGTAAAGTGGTGCCAACAAATTAACATTGTTTTCATATCTCACTTATCATCTTATGAAATTATTCTCAAACATAAAGGATTTGTGTTGAAAATGTTAAGCATCATTTAGTTGGTGAATCATCCAATTGACCATATAATGCGTGTGCAATATTACCATGCTGTTTTTTTTTCTCGCCAGTATTCAAAGACGTCAACACAAAGTCCCCATTTGTAGAAGATTTCTCAATTCTTGGAGATGATGGATCCAGCGCAGCTGCTGCCAAACCCGACCACATCTACATGGACTGCATGGGGTTTGGCATGGGAAACTGTTGTCTGCAGGTCACGTTCCAGGCCTGCAACATAGATGAGGCCAAGACATTGTACGACCAACTGGCTGGCATGTGTCCCATTATGGTCAGTGGTCATTTAAATTAATCTTTTCTACATTTTTGTTGTTTTACGAGCTGTTCCTTTCCATATAAAAATGTTTAATCAACAGACTATTTGCTTGATGTTAACAGTGCTGTAAGCAAGAAGCATAATAAAAAGCTTTAAAAAAATATTCATTTTACCTTAACCTATCACATCATTATCTGAATGCAAAGATAGAGATTTTGCTCTTATTACACTTTTCTAAAATTAGTTTAAATTAAATGCAGTCACACCTCACTCAATAACATGCCTGATTGAATACTGCTCTGATTCACAAACAACTTCATGGCCAGGGCAATACTTTTTTTTATATAATATGAATGATCCAAAATTTTTTTTTTTTTATTCACGTCTATGATTGTCCCTGCTTGTGCATGTACCTGCTTGTGTTGTATGTATGTTCCTGTTTGTGTTGTGTATGTGACAAATTTATCAAGGTTAGATTTTCCTTGTTAATTAATTTAAGTTTATTTTTCATTTTAAAATTAACCTCCTATTTTATTGACCTGCTTAATGCCCAGGTTGTAGCAACAGAACTTGGTCACCAAGTGAAGAGTTCCTGTAAGGTGCTCATAGTATTTAAACTTTAATTTAATTTTTTTTCACACTCAACACGCCCAAAAAAAAATATTTTTTTTTAAAGAAAAGAATTTGAATAAACTGTGCCACAAAGTATCCAGTAAACAAAAGACTTCAACCGTACTATACATTTTATTTGTAAATGTTTGAAAGTTTATTTGTTTTACTTCACTCCTTAAGCTTGCCTTGAGTGCCAGCTCCCCCATCTACAGAGGCTACCTGTCTGACATTGACACCAGGTGGCCGGTGATTGCCTCCTCTGTGGACGACAGGACCAAGGAGGAGAGGGGCCTAGAGGTAAGGAAACAACCTGTGTGTACCAGAGACTAGAAGCATCTTATCCTATTGGGTCAAAATTTCTGGACCTCATGAGACCGAATGGATTGAAATCGGGACTATTTAAAGCTCAACATGAGTCCGAATGGATTTAAATTGGGACTATTTAAAGGTCAAAAGACAGAATAGATTAAAATTGGGACTATTTGAATCTCAACAGGAGACCAAATGGATTGAATTTGGGACTATTTAAATCTGAAAACTGTTTAAGCATTCAGTTGCAGAGGTCATCTAAATCTTTAGTCATAAAAGCAGAAGAGGAATTGTTGAATTTTTTTTTTCATTTAGTTAGTTTCTTTGGGGGATGGGGTGAGATTAGAGTACAACCAGCCTGGGGTTGAAGCCTTGATTTAAATGTAAATAAAAAAAAAAATTTTTTATAGCTGACACCATGATTGTATATTTGGGCGGTTGGTAAAAAAATATAATGACCTATCAGGCCTGGAATAAAGATCTCTATTTACTGATGTTTTCTTGTCTTTTTAATGTGCAGGATTTATGTTTTGATTATCTGACTCTCCCTCACAACATTTCTTCTCCTTCCCAGCCACTGAAGGAGGACAGGTTTCTCATCCACAAGTCCCGCTATGATTCCATAGACAGTTACATATCCCCGTTGGGGCGATGCTACAACGACATCCCCTTGATTCTGGATCAGGATCTGTGTGATGAGCTCATTGAAGGAGGTAATGTGGGGTGTAACCTAGAAGTTGAACAGTGCAAGTAATCCATCATGATTTGTCTTAAACCATCTTTTTAGATGTTTAAAAGATCTCACAAAGGTTATGTTACTACTCCTCATTACGTTAGTACTTCTCATTATGTTAATACTTCTCATTATATATGTTAGTACTTCTTATTATATATATTAGTACTTATCTTTATGTTGATGCTTGTCAAAAAAGAAAAAAAAAAGAAAAATTGTGATGTAAAATATAAGTAATCTTCAGTTATTATGGGAACACAAAACTTATAAATTAAAGCTAATGCTCAGGCCACTTCAATAGTTGTTTTAAAAAAAAAATTCAATGCTAATATGGCAGAGGAGAGCAGTCACATGGTTTGCTGTCCTTAGAGCTCCCCTTCTGACAAAGCTTTGAAACCTCTATCCGGACAGCCATACTGTCTTTGATGCTATTTGATGTACTGTATTTGATATTTGATGTACTGTCTTTGATATTTGATGTACTGTCTTTGATGATATATGATGTACAGTCTTTGATGATATTTGATCCTTCTGCACCCTATTGGTTAAAAGATTTCGCAGTCAAGAGTTTATGTCTAAGTATTCCACCCTCAGGTGTTGATGATCTGCTGGCCAGGCATATAGCTCACCTGTTCATCCGTGACCCAGTTTCAGTGTTTGCAGAGAAGCTGGATCTGGATGATGAGAATGACACTGATCATTTTGAGGTATGTCACTTTGAAAGCCCAGACAAAACAAAAATGGTCATTTACATGTGCATGATACATGTGCATGATATATTTGCATTCACATGTGCTAGTACACATATTTACGTAAATGATGATATCCGTGACCACAATGCACTTGTTTTCTCCAGAACATCCAGTCCACCAACTGGCAGACGATGAGGTTCAAGCCACCGCCGCCCAACTCAAATATTGGCTGGAGAGTGGAGTTCAGACCCATGGAGGTACCCTATTTAATTTGTGCTCTATATGAGCGTTAGTGTTTTCTTTTGTACTCTTTCAGAGTATTGAGAATCATGATTTCTAGAGGGGGTGGGGGGGGGGGCAGGGGTAGGTTGCTGTCGGGTGCATAATTGATTTGAAAAATGTAAATTTTCACATTTTTTGGTTTTACTCAGAGTTTTATTTCATTAGAATATTGATAGCTGTCATAACCTTGTCACTTCCATACCATAAACATGTCATCTCCAGGCCCAGCTGACAGACTTTGAGAATGCTGCGTTCACTGTGTTCATTGTCCTCCTGACACGTGTCATCTTGTCCTACAAACTCAACTTTGTCATCCCCATTTCTAAGGTAATTTGCTTTTACAAAAAAAAATTTCTATGTAACTACCGACCACTTGCTCAAGCTGAAATAAGATTTTTTAAGAAAAAAAATTTCTTCTTGACTTATTGTGCTTCCTCTTAAATATTAAAACAGTACCCCCCTCTATAGCAATTTTGGTGATAAGCTCTCTACAGAAATCTTGGTGAAAAGGACACTCTATAGCAATCTTGATATACAGCAATCTTGGTCATAATCTCTGTACAACAGTCTTGATGATATACTTATATTACTTCTGTTTTGGTACCAAGTTATAAGTAAAACAATCATCGATCATGCATAGGTCTTTACCGAAAGTTAAGGAAGAACAATTGAATTTTTTTTAAATGTGTCAAACTCTCCATTGACTTGTGCCATGTAGTAAGAGGAAGCTGATAGAATTCTTCAATTTTTTTCTAAATATGTCAAACTCACCATTGACTTGTGCCATGTAGTAAGAGGAAGCTGATAGAATTCTTCAATTTTTTTCTGGGACGTAAGGAACCAAGAAAGAAACTGATTTGGGTGAATTTAGTTCATGAAACAGGGAAAATCACATTCTTATGGGGAATAGGTTTGTTCCGCAAAAATAAACAAAGCAAAAATCTTCATGTGCTACAAATAATTGTCATGGGATTCTATTTGAAAGTGCTATGTGTGTATATGTGTTGTTACGCATTAGCTTCTATTGTGAGAAATTAATCTCTTGTATTAAGTTATGGCTCATTCACACAGGACGATACCATAGAGAAAGACAATAATAAAGATACAACACGCAAAAACAGTTTCCAATTACAATTAATAAGATTTAATTTAGTAATAATACAATTACATAACAAAAGAAATATAATTACAAACCATCATTTTACAGAGTATTGGAAAATCTTGTATGGGTACACAATTAGTACAATGTGCCAATTAATAATGATGAATGGGAATAAACACATGAGCACTCAAAGTATAATACAATTGTCTCGTAAAGTTAATATCTCTCTGAATCTTTGCCTCCGAGGCTGTCAATCCCTTATATATGTGGGTCTACCGATGCGTCTAGAAACGCCTTTACTTTTCTAATACAATCCCGAACACTCGACAAAACACCACTGAGAACAAATTATTTTTAGTTGCAGTCGGCAATAAACACGACAGATCAAAAGACTAAGCCACGCCCATCTATGAAAGTAGTGTCTAATATGGGGGTCAACCTGAGTGCACGCACGAGGAAAGTGTTGTAAACAAGCTCTACATAAGTGTCCTGGTGGTGTCTTTAAAATACAGTACATAACTTTTATCCCCAGGTTGATGAGAACATGAAAACGGCATTCAAAAGGGATGCAGTTATCAAAGACAAGTTTTACTTCCGTAAAGATGTCTTGACAGGTAAATTCATACCATTTTTTTATATGGATCCTGTCTTGTGATTCTGGCGTTTGTGAAACATCTGTTATTTTCGGTACAACACACAACTACAAAGCAAACATTAGAAAGCCGATTTGATGTTAAGTTGTATTTTGTTTTGTTTTTCCAATTTGTTTTGCAATATTATTGCTAGTGCATCATTAGCTCACTCCTGCCTAACCTTTTTGCAATGTAAACTTCCTGTACGATGCAAACTTCCTGTACGATGAAAACTTCCTGTACCGCCAGGAAAAGTTATAAATGGATTCATCTTTAATTATAATTTGGTAATAAGATGAAATAAGATTAAGGGCGGATGTTTTTTCCCCTCAAAATGGCTTTGAATTAAGATATATGAAGTTGAATGCCAGGAAAATTCTCACAAGCTTCTGCCATCGCCAGGCTGGTATGGGCAGTAGTGTGTGGTAATCTGATGAGTGTGTTGGGCAGAAGTGGGTTAATGGAGTCTTAAAGGTAGTTTCTCAAGCTGAGAATCCTTTGATCTAATTTTTAAAAAAAAATCTTAAGATATTGTTTTATGCATCGCTGCAGAGTCCACCCCTCCAGAATGTGTGTCTCAGTGCGGCAGCTCAGCATGTCATGAGATCAGAGAGCAGTATGAGGAGATGACCATAAATGAAATTTTCCATGGGAAGGTAAGAGTTACTGCCATTGTGGCATGGTTTTAACTAAGTTCATCACTACTACGTTAATGACTTCAATTTTTTGGACTTTTATTTTGTGGCATTTCAAGCCATGTTAATTACCTTTTCATTTCTTAAAAATTAAGCATTAATTTTTGTATTTATCCTTTATTATGATCAATTTTCATAAAAATGTACATTATTCTTTTTTTTTTTAAAAAGTAAATACTTTCCACAAAGTTAAATCCTAATAGTTGATTGTGTACCCAACCTTAGGATGACTTTCCAGGTCTGCTGGCCTTGATCAACTTGTACATGGACAGCATAGAGATTGATGTAGACACTCGGTGTACCATCACCCAGTATCTGAAACTGATTTCTCAAAGAGCTTCAGGTATGGGGACTTTAAAAAAAAATAGATTATGTTAAGGATTTTTTTTCAATTGCAATAAAAAGTATGATGATACAGGTAGAGTCTCAGCCAGCATAAATAAGGAAATGTGAAGCACCCCGAGGATGAAAAAAAAAAACTTGTGAGAAAAAACAAAAGGCACAACGAAGATTTCAGTTGGGGCCTCTCTCAATCTTTCACATACTTGGGTTTGACATATTTCCTCAATAAAAACAAGGATTTCACTCACTTTCAGAGACATTTGAGCTAGACTTGTATTCATTTGAATTTCTTTGACTTAACATTTGCATTAAATTACATTAAAAAAATTATTTGACTTAGAATATAAAAATTAATTGAATAATTTTGTTCATTTCTGTAAGTGAATTTCTTTTCAACTCTGTAAGTGAATTTCTTTTCAACTCTGTAAGTGAATTTCTTTTAAAATTTGTAAGTGAATTTCTTTCCCATTCTTAACTTTATTTCTTTCCCACTCTGTAAGTGAATTTATTTCCCACTCTGTAAACAGGTCAGCTAGTTACCAGTGCCAGGTGGATGCGTAACTTTGTCACACAGCATCCAGAATATAAAAAAGACTCTGTTGTCTCAGACTCCATTACCTACGACCTCTTGTCCCGCATCGTGAAGATTGCTGGTGGTAAAGAGAATGACCCGACCCATCTGTTTGACTACACGACAAAGTCGGCCGACAGAATCCCCGAGGCCCTGTCCCAGGCGGAGGCCTACTTGAACAAGAAGGCCCAACAGGGTGGCCTCACAAATGTCTGTAACCCAATTCCAAATGGGAATTGAGTGTTTTCTTATTCCATTTTGTGATGTGATACGAACATGGTAGGGTGATGCTATGTGAAGGCTGCATTGGATGCTGTGCGAGATTAAGTGTGGATTTTTAAAAAATTAATTTTTGAGGATGGTAGATAAATGAATGGTGCCGTTGATTTGATTTCATGATTGAACTGAGGTTTGAAGGGAATTGTTGGGTAGCAGATAAAATGGCAGCTCAGGAGTATGGTAAGCAACAGTAGAATTATTTACTTCCCAACAATTTATCACCAAAGGTGAAGCCAACATAATTATTTTTGTTTGAATTTTCAAATACTTGTTGAAAATTATATTTGTATTATACTTTTTTTTTAAATTTGACATAATGAATATTGCATTTGTCAGAAAATGATGTATGGGACAGAGACTCTTCTAAAAGAAAGTTTATTAGTCCCATATGTAGTAAATATAGATATATTTTGTTAAAATACCAATTTGTTAATTTGGATTGTTTTTTTGGAATAGTGGTTCTCATTCTTGTTTAAAGTATGTACACCTTGATTACACATTAGAACACTGTGTCCTAAGAAATTTTTGCAATGACTCTAGCTAGGCCTATATTTTTGTTTTGATAACTTATTTACAAATTCATAAATCTCAGTTCAAAATATTTCATCCAGGATACATATATTTTCATAGTGCTCAGAAATAAGTTCATTCAGTCAAAAAAAAATGTTGGGCTGCACTGCTTTGTGTGATTGGTTATCACAAATTCTTATGCAATGTTTATTTTGAAAGAAACCAGAGAGGGAGAGACCCATAGGTTAATTCCAATGGTTATTTATATGAGATTTAAATCGAATATAAATAGTTTCCAATATCACCTTTAAAAAAATGATATACCAGGGAACTAAGATGATGATATACTTGGGACCCAAGATAAAATTTGTGGATAATCATTATCTCATTTTTTTTTAAAAAGTTGTTTGAAATTGTATTTCCAATTAGCCCTGTCTCATCTTGAACGCTTTTCTTGACTTTGACCTAATTAAAAAGTGGGCCATTCAGTCTACTGAAACTTTATCTAAATTTACCCTTGGACTACATTGTATTTTAGTCTGATTTTATTTGCTGTTAACCATAACATACCTCTTGACAGGATCCTGGCCAGTTTGTTTGCATAATTGTCGCCATTGACAAATACAGAGATGAGCACTTTACACAATATTGGCTTGTGTGTTTGCATTCACTCAAGTTCAATGCTAGTTCATAACTTTTCAGCATCATTTTTAATTGATGCCAGTATTTTTTTTAGTTTAAATATTTCTGTTCATTGCAAGTCCTGTAAGTTTTCAACTTTTAGTTAAATGCAAGTTTTAAATAACTTTTATTACTAACTTTTCTATTACTAACAGATTTTGCTTCTATCATTTGTCAGGTCACTGGTTTATTCATGGTTTTATATCATGCAGAAGTTGTCTAGTACTAGTAAAAAAAAATGCACCATTTTTAAAAATTTGTATAATTATATTACTTTTGAATATCAACACAGCAAGCTTCATCCCACCTAATATACACAGTATACACAAAATGTTCTAATGTACATTTTTAAGACATAATAGAGATAAAAGATATAAAAAGTATTTTATAACCTTTCAGCTAAAGCTTTATGATGTAAACTAAATGTTAGAAGAGTTTTGGAAAATAAATTTAAAAGATGAGAATGCACACAAAGCTGATTTTAGTAGCATCTTAATTGTTGAGGATCTCAAATTGTAAAAAAAAAATTATTTTTTTCCCTCTAATAATTCATAAATAAGTTAAGCACAATATCATTGCAGCAATGTTTGTATTTTTCATAAAGCATTTCGTCACATCCATACACATGCTGCATATATATATTTTATATACTAGTTTCAACCCTCATCTATAGCCCTTGACATATCATCAGGGCTTTCAGCACTAAAAATTCTTCTGGTACCTTTTTGGGTGGGATTCAAGGTGCCACTTCACAAGTCACCTCAGATCCAAGAGTGGCACATTGGACGTTTAAACGTCTTTTTACCTTTTTCTCATCAATAAAAGTAACATGTGCTGTGAAAAGTTTTTTTTAAAATTATATAAAAGATGTTCGAATCATAGCTTGGAGTCTCTCTTTCAAGTTTGGTGAACAAGTAGTTTCAAACATAGAAACTTGCTTGCATACCCTTCATAGTCTTTGGCTACACAATCACTGGTTCTCCACTTTTTACCACAGGTAATTTATTCAGGTATTCATGTGATATCCAATACAGCCACCTCAATAGCTCACTCTCAATTTCAACGCCATTCTGTGGATTTCTACTCTGGGCTCAAGGAATTTTATTATTATTGGTTCTCTATTCTGGTCCAAAGATAATCCATTTAATCAGTTCCAATTTCTAACCCAAATCTTTTTTTTCCCCAAATTTTTCTAAATTTAATTCAAAGATACTCCTTGCTGGTTGCTTTGTATTCTATACAATTCATGTTACAGCTTCTTGCTGGTTGTTTTGTATTCTGTACAATTCATGTTTCAGCTTCTTGCTGGTTGTTATGTATTCCTACAGCTTCTTGCTGGTTGTTTTGCATTCTGTACAATTCATGTTACAGCTTCTTGCTGGTTGTTTTGTACTCTATACATCAATGTTTCAGCTTCTTGCTGGTTGTTTTGTATTCTGTACAATTCATGTTTCAGCTTCATGTTAATGTATCATGGAATTAGAAACAAAATTACTTTTTTTTTGTCAAGATATGTTGTGGTTGGTACCATCACTAAAGGTTTGTTTAGTACCAATCACTAAAGGTTTGTTTTGTACCAATGTAATGCACCTGTAACACATTGTTGATGTATTTTGTAAAGAAATAATTCACCATAAAATCTCAGTTGGAAATCTGCAGGTGCTTTTTATGGAAGCTTTACACTGTCCATTTTAATTTCATTTGATATCAATTCATGTCTTGCATTCTTTTTTTTTTTTACAGCAGCAAGGGATAAGGTGTCTTGAGATTGCTTTTCCAGTCAGTCTAATCATTCAGACACATAATCCAGTTTTTGAAAATGTCCATAAGATATTAGTCAAACCTCATTGAAGTAGTTTTATCGGTGATAAATAAGAATTCTGCCATGTTGCCATTATCCTGTTCTGACAGTCTTGGTTGATAACCAAGTTTCAGATCTTCAGTTCAAATGTAAATCTCAAAGCTTTATATGATTCTTCTCAGAATTGTTATGAATTTATCAATTACAATAATATATTATATTGGTTGCCATTTTTTTTAAACTCCCAAGTTAGCCAATTAATATAAAACATAAAATTATGTCATTAAAATTTTTTTAAGGTAATAAAACTTGTGTTTGTCAAATTTTGTAAAGGATTTGAACATTGTATTTATGATGTATACCAAAGGTTGTTTTTTTAAAAGAAATTTTGCTGTGGAAAAATGGAGTATGCCACAGTAGGAACTTGAGAATTAAAATAATTACTGAAAATTTGTATGTGACATGAAAGATTTAAAATTTTCAATTAAATATTATTGTATATTCCTCTATCAGTTTGAAAAAAAAGTAAAAATGCAGTTACTTTTCACTTCTCCATCTATTTCTTCGTGACCTACTTTCTCAGAGAGATCATTATTCCACTTCCCCTTCCACAAGCACACATAATTATCCTGAATTTATTATCCTCCTTGTCCTAAGAGATAAATGTATAATAATTAATTTTATCAGCCTCCCTCCCTCACAACTAAAAAATAACGGCTAACATGCAATGTATTTGAATTCCAACAAAAGGATGATGGAAGACCAGGAAAGACGTTCGCTATGTATAAAAACCAGGAGCTTTTTCTGAACAACAAAATATTAGGCATATAAGTGAAGATAAATATAGGTAGGTAGAGCGTTACTTGAAAAATTAAAGGTAGGCTACTCTTTGTTAAATCGCCAAAAAGTACAAAACTTTTGCTCAGAAATATACATTAAAGTCCAGTAAATGTACGATGCTGTCTTTTTTTTTTTTGTAGTAACGCACGCATTGTACACGAGAATTGAAACAAGCAGCTTACATGGCCTCGACCTTAATGAACTAACCCACTTCTACTTCTGCATTCGTTGCTGTGCACAAGTTGCCGAACTTTACTTACTTTCTAAGTAGCTCAGAGTTGTGGGTCGTTGACCTCATTTCCGTACACTATGTAAATGTAATACGTTATTTTAGTTCAGATTGTATTTCGTTCGTTTGTTTTGGTTATTCTTACGATTAACAGCTATATTTGCGTTTATGTTTCACGAATACCCAAAATATATGTAAAGCCTGTATGTATAACTCCGGACTAAGGATACAATAGAGTAAGTGTTGTGTTTATTCATATGTTTTGTAAGATGTGATTAAAATTACCTTTGTGATTGTAGTATCTGAGCATGACTCAGTTGATAGAAGTAGAAGTTTAAAAGCATTTGACATTATAGATTTGATTTCTTCCTATATGAAGAGGCGTATCTATCGAGAGGTTAACCAATTTTTCCCTCTCACCCCAGGCAGGCATTCATTGATTTTTGGACCGTTTACGTCTGTGTTTGTGTAAAGGATATAAATATGGGCCTACTTGAAGAGTACCTGGCGTAGTATGCCGCCGCATAGGAACACCTTTATTCAAGCCCCATGTTGTCCACCCCCCCCCCACATCCCCGTGCGATACCCTTTACCGAATTGTATGTAGAGCCCTGACTAGTTGGACTTGGTGCACACCAACCCTTAATATGCGTTGGTGGTGGTCGTGTTGGACTTGGTGCACACAACCCTTAATATGCGTTGGTGGTGGTCGTGTTGGACTTCGTGCACACCAACCCTTAATATGCGTTGGTGGTGGTCGTGTTGGACTTGGTGCACACCAACCCTTAATATGCGTTGGTGGTGGTCGTGTTGGACTTCGTGCACACCAACCCTTAATATGCTTTGGTGGTGGTCGTGTTGGACTTGGTGCACACCAACCCTTAATATGCGTTGGTGGTGGTCGTGTTGGACTTCGTGCACACCAACCCTTAATATGCGTTGGTGGTGGTCGTGTTGGACTTCGTGCACACCAACCCTTAATATGCTTTGGTGGTGGTCGTGTTGGACTTGGTGCAAAGCAACCCTTAATATGCTTTGGTGGTGGTCGTGTTGGACTTGGTGCACACCAACCCTTAATATGCTTTGGTGGTGGTCGTGTTGGACTTCGTGCACACCAACCCTTAATATGCTTTGGTGGTGGTCGTGTTGGACTTGGTGCACACCAACCCTTAATATGCTTTGGTGGTGGTCGTGTTGGACTTGGTGCACACCAACCCTTAATATGCGTTGGTGGTGGTCGTGTTGGACTTGGTGCACACCAACCCTTAATATGCGTTGGTGGTGGTCGTGTTGGACTTGGTGCACATCAACCCTTAATATGCGTTGGTGGTGGTCATGTTGGACTTGGTGCACACCAACCCTTAATATGCGTTGGTGGTGGTCGTGTTGGACTTGGTGCACACCAACCCTTAATATGCTTTGGTGGTGGTCGTGTTGGACTTGGTGCACACCAACCCTTAATATGCTTTGGTGGTGGTCGTGTTGGACTTCGTGCACACCAACCCTTAATATGCGTTGGTGGTGGTCGTGTTGGTCTTGGTGCACACCAACTCTTAATATGCTTTGGTGGTGGTCGTGTTGGACTTGGTGCACACCAACCCTTAATATGCTTTGGTGGTGGTCGTGTTGGACTTCGTGCACACCAACCCTTAATATGCTATGGTGGTGGTCGTGTTGGACTTCCTGCACACCAACCCTTAATATGTTTTGGTGGTGGTCGTGTTGGACTTCGTGCACACCTACCCTTAATATATTTTGGTGGTGGTCGTGTTGGACTATGTGCACACCAACCCTTAATATGCTTTGGTGGTGGTCGTCTATTTGACAATTTGCACTGACGCACAGCTACGCCCTTATGTTAGATTTTATATTAGCCCTAATTGATTTTGTGGAAGACAAAATTAGTAAGTTGGGACAAAATATTGTCCGAATTTTAAAAGAAATCTATGTGATGCCCACTATTCTATGTGATGCCCACTATTCTATGTGATGCCCACTATTCTATGTGATGCCCACTAGTACTGTATATTATATTGCGTGTGCACCCCACCGCCACCCTTTTATCAATAATTCTGCGTTTGAATGTTTTTATAGATTGTGTTTTGTTTGTTTGTTTGTTTGTTTTTAGGGGGCTGTAAATTATATGTATTAAATGTTCGTTAACTGAATGCATAGTGTTACACGACCTGATGTTTTATTGTCTCTCGTGGACTACTGTCTTATGGCTTCGAATCTCATTGGCCAATCTTTCAATACTTTCATCACTTTAATACCCTATGGTCTCATCTCTCATCACATAGTACCCCATGGTCTCATCTCTCACCACATAATAACATAATACCCCATGGTCTGATCTCTCACTACATAATACCCCATGGTCTCATCTCTCACCACATAATACCCCATGGTCTGATCTCTCACCACATAATAACATAATACCCCATGGTCTGATCTCTCACCACATAATACCCCATGGTCTCATCTCTCACCACATAATAACATAATACCCCATGGTCTGATCTCTCACTACATAATACCCCATGGTCTCATCTCTCACCACATAATACCCCATGGTCTGATCTCTCACCACATATTAATACCCCATGGTCCCATCTCTCACCACATAATATACTGTATGCATACTATGTGCTTTCAATTTAAGTAACCCCACCCCCCCCCCCCCCCCTGGTGGCAGCTCCCCACCCCAGGCACGCGATTGTGCTGTGTAGAACCATGGCACTGAAAACAGACAGCGGCGTAAAAGCGGACTTTGGTTTACAGAGGAATTAATGCACTGTTGGCATGTGGGTTTTGTTGATTCGCTACCCGGCATGTGTATTGTGTATTGTGGCTTGAATCTTGGCCGCAACGCAGTAAAGCAAACACAACACGGAAAGCTTCCATGGAATTAGCCATACAGTTGAAGAACACTAAGGAGCCGTCTCGAGATCGACACACACGGGCGAGTCAATAAGAAGAATGGCTGCCTGCAAAAGTCTGCATTCTGTTCACAATAGCGCCTCTTGAGTCATGAGAGTCATTAGAGAAAGATTTTTAGATCTTAAACAGTTGGTGGTGGTTTTTTTCGGTGGGGGGGGGGGGGGGGGTGGATAAAGAATACAAAGTTTAATGAAGTGGTGTGAAGGTTTACGACAAAGAGCAGATTGATTTATTTACTTAATAAATAATTATTTTTTGGTGGGGGGGGGGGGGAGGGGGTGAATAAAGAATACAAAGTTTAATGAAGTGTTGTGAAGTTTTACGACAAAGAGCAGATTGATTTATTTACTCAATAAATAATTATGACAGGATTAGTTCAATTATCTGGTAGAAAATGTGTCATCTGAAAAATAAAACAAGAAGTAACACTTTAAGAGCAACCAAAAAATGGTGGGGGGAAAAAATGGGGTGGGGGGTTGGGCTTCAAACATAATCCACCTATCCCTCTCCTATTTCCCCAAACTCAACTTAATCGTTTGTTATACATATAATGAATTAAATTATTTATTGAAATATAAATAAAGTATTATCTGCCATCCCTTCCACACACATTTAAGAGGGAAAAAAAAAGACTTATAATTTATTAACTTTCTAAAGTTGTTTCTATTGAACGTGATCTTTTTTCGATAGTTGGTCGATCGCTGGGTTGCGCGGATGGTAGGTTGATTGCTTGGGTTGTGTGGATGGTAGCTTGATTGCTTGGGTTGTGCGGATGGTAGGTTGATAGCTTGGGTTGCGTGGATGGTAGGTTGATAGCTTGGGTTGCGCGGATGGTAGGTTGATAGCTTGGGTTGCGCGGATGGTAGGTTGATAGCTTGGGTTGCGCGGATGGTAGGTTAATCACTTGGGTTGCACAGATGGTAGGCTGATCGCTTGGGTTGCGCGGATAGTAGGTTAATCACTTGGGTTGCACGGATGGTAGGTTGATAGCTTGGGTTGCACGGATGGTAGGCTGATCGCTTGGGTTGCGCGGATGGTAGGTTGATAGCTTGGGTTGCGCGGATAGTTGGTCGAATGCTTGGGTTGCGTGGATGGTTGGTCAATTGCTTGGGTTGCGTGGATGGTAGGTTGATCGTTTGGGTTGCGTGGATGGTTGGTCAATTGCTTGGGTTGCGTGGATGGTTGGTTGATGGCTTGGGTTGCGCGGGTGGTAGGTTGATCGCTTGGGTTGCGTGGACTTCTTTGAAGTTCAATTTGACCAACAGCTGAAATTCGGTACACAGCTTCACCGACTTTCTAGACGGCTGAAATAAAATTGAGATCATTTTGTTATTCATTTAAAAAAAAAAAAACGATTGAACTAAAATGTTGTTCTTTTCCTTCTGAAGCTGAATGTAAATATTCAGTAGGATGATAACTGTTGGTCTTGACTCACAATTGCTACACAACCCCACCATCCCGCCCGCCCAAATAAAACAATCAATACAACAAAACAACTCACACAAAAACAATTATTAAAAAATCATAGCAGTTGAATTGATTCCTCTGTTTGTGGGAATAGTGAGCACAAATATTTTCACACAAATTGAATCATATACATACACTTTTATGATATAGGCTCACTGATATGTTGTTGGGTTGGACCTAAGAAAATACCGATAGAGCAGTGCTGTATGTGGGGAATACCCTATTAGGCCTCTTCTAAAGTTATTGACACTTTATTACAGACACTACAACGTTAGCAAAGGACAATACAGAAATAGAATACCATACAAATTTTAATGTCAAGGACGCCAAAATGAATCAGGGGAAGAAACTCAATTTATCAACACGTCGTTATTTTTGACGGGTTATTAAAAAGAGTTGTCGTCTCTTAGTCCCTGGATACATATAAGTTTTGGTTAGCTCAAAGAACACATTTAGGAAAACTGACATCATTTTCTTACGGGTCGTAGATCTCATAATTCCCTTTGTATCAGGCCCGAATTACCACCCTTAGGCAGCCTAGGAAATAAAACTTTATTTACAAAGATAAAATAGAACCAGCGAGCTTCCCACAGGCAGGTGAAATTTATTAAACCCAGCCCCCTTGTACCTCTCTCAGCTGTGAGGGAGTAGTCATCGTTGTCAGACACCGAGTGTGTACATTGATATTGTGTGCTTCGAGTCGGATGCATGTGTGAGAGATTTGACTGACTGCTCAACGGCTTGTACCAAAAAGAATAAAAGCTATAGTTCTCATACCTGCATTTCATTGTTTGTATATTTTAAACTGTAAGCTACACCACCACACGGCTACATTAGAATTACTTCTTATTAATTATAAAAAATTTACACTATGTTTTCAATTTCTGTCTCCACAAAATGAGCTCAAATTAAAGTAGGGCATGAGGTTGTAAATGTGAATTGAATAATGTTATCATGTTTAAAAAATACACTTATTAGTATCATTTTTTGACATTCATATACAATTTATAAAAAGTGGTGAAATATACCTTTTCTACAAACCAGTAGTCTACAATTTCTCTTTTTGCACCTGGTAGAGTTTAAAATTTTGGAAATAGGTAATATTATACTTGCTTTTTGTGACTGACAGCTTTTTTGTATGGATATTTATTTTTACAAATCATTTTTTAATTAAGTAGTTTAACCAAATAAATGGTTTAAACAAAATTTTAAAACAACTTTACGATTTAGTAACAATTTAAAATCTACTATTAATTTTTATAACTACAACAAGATCACGTGACACCTAAATTCGGTTCTCTCTGATTAATTGGAGAAAGTGGAAAACTACATTTTTATTATGCGGAAATATGGACCCCTGCATTTTGATTTTATCCACAAATTTTACGAGGAAGGGCTCAATGAGCCCCCTCCGCATTCTCCTCCTCCACCCTCGCTTTCGCTCGGGAGCCATAGGTGACCTCGATTTCTGCTTTCCCCCTCCTCCACGCCTATCCATGTGACACTACAAGGGTGAAACTAAGATGGGACCAAAAGAAGACCATGTGACCTGCCACAACTGGAATGACCTCAGGTTATGTATGGTACTGGGTGTGACAATGCCTAATTTGCGCGCTCCTTGTTGCCCTGCCCCCCCCCCCCCCCCCCCCCCCCCCCCCCCCCACACTCCCCCCCCAGCTCCTGAAATTTCCCCTCCCATTTTCAAATTTTATGAAAGAAAGATCAAATGCAGGTATACCCCAAAAACACTGCAAGCCAATGCATGCTGTCGACCAAGGTCCATGGTGGAAGTGGCCCTCCACCACTCAGGGGTGGGGTGGGTGGGTGTTCTAGACGCCCCTGATTAAAAAAAGGAAATGAAAACTAGATTTTGAGGGTTTTTTGTTTTATTTTTGTAAACAAACGTACTAATTGTGATTTGCTTTTTAATATTAATTTCGGTAACAGCCATGGTTACCGGAATTTTGAATGAAAGAAATTTCGTCGACGATAAATTGACTGACGGAAACTTCCGTTCGATCAAATTACCGTCGATCAATTTACCGTCGACGAAATTTCTTTCGATAAAATTTCCGGATACGAACTGCCACAGAGGCAGTAATCGATCATCGGCCCTTTTGACAGCCTCGAAATTTTTCTGATACCTCTGTGGTGCCCCTTTTCTCATGGTACCCTAAGTGGCCCTAAGCACTTGCTTATTTTGCTTATGGCTAATCATGGCCTGCTTGCATGTCAGGAATGATACACAGTTTTAGAAACAGGCAGACATTACCATATAAATAAATCTTGTTAATTTTGCTGAAATATGTTTTTTTTTTCTTTTTACCAACAACTTATTTCTAATATCTACTAATGTACCGGTACATTAATAAAGTATGTCTAATAATATGTCTCCCCCCCCCACCCATCATTTGTGTGTGTGTGTTATTGCTAGTAGACTTTATATTCTAATCTTTCGGCTGACTGTGGGGTTTCTTTTGTTTATCTGCTCAGCATATCAATAACAAATCCACATGTAGGTAAGTGTGTTCACCTTTGTCTTTAATCTGGGCTATCCAACAGTCTGACACTTGCTGAGGGTCAGAGGTCAGGACCTTACGGATTTAACTCGCGATTTTATTTATTGGGCATGAACCAGTTTAAGAGCTACGATGCTTTGAGCAGATTTAAGTTTAAAAGGTATCAAGAAGAATGTGTCCTACAATATGAGTCTACAATTTTCTAAAGCAATTTTCTGTGTAGTTGTGAGTCACCGAGAAAAAAAAGACTGCATGTGGTTTGTTTTAATGCCCCATTTTAGTGACAGTTGACTTTGTGATGTGTTCAGAAAACGTTCAGAGTAGAGATCGTTGGGCAAAAATAAAGATTATAAATAACAGGCCTAGGAGATTCTGTCTTAATTTATTTATTTCATAGGATAAAGATAACGCGTGCTTTGGAAAATAATTGTGTATGATGAGATAAGTTAAATTAAAAACAATGAAAACAAGTGATCGAAAGTGTCATTATATTTATATTCATTATCTCCCAAACTTTGGTGTGAAGTGAGTTTAGTGAGCCCTGCGTCTAACCTTCACCACCCAGCCAAGATTTTTTTTTTTGTTACACACATATGCGTCCCCACCTCCCCACCTTTTTTGAGGGTTTAAATATGTTTCTCTTGGAAAAAGCATGGATCGTCCATGCTAGTCGGGTCATTATTAAGAACCCGCATGACACGAGTGACTAATTGACCCCCAGGGACAGCCAATGACAAGCATTGTGATTGTGCTTGACCCTTGTTAGCTAATATTATTATATTTTAGCTACTACTATAATCTACTGCTAAGACTATGCTCAATAGACAATAGGCCCATTGTTACATAATTTAAAATATGCCAAATCTTGTATTTAGAATATATTATTATGTTAGATGAATAGATTCTAAAATGCAGTGGCTTAAAAGGAGAAGCCTAACACTTCTAGTTTAAATCATGCGTGACCACAAGGAACTGGCCAATCGCATTACAGTAGGGCTGTTATAATATGATAACAAAATATGCCTTTTCAATACAGTAGGGCTGTTATGGTAACAAAATATGCCTTGTCATTACAGTAGGGTTGTTATGATATGATAAAATATATATATACCTTTTCTTTTTACATTAGGGCTGTTATGATTTTTAAAAATATATGTCTTGTCGTTGCAATCACAGTGGCTTCAGTGAATTGCACACACACAATGGCTAATTGACACCCCGACTAGAACAGAGGGGTAGGAGGAAATCAGTAGCCTACTTGATATGCCACATTAAAATGTGCAGTGCCCATGGAGGTCATTGAATATAACGTGACCTATTTTTGAGAAAGTGATGTAAATGAACCAAACAATTGACGTAAAAGTATGCGTGTTATAAGCTTTAGTACAGTAATCAAACTTTGTAAACTACTTGAGGATCACATACAGTTTTAAACCGTTCACTATCTCTCTCTTTTCATATCTGAACATTGACTTAATTTAAAGCCGTGAATGAACAATAAAATTGGGTTTTCATCATTTTAGTGTAAAACTGTATTATATTAAAGAAATAGCCTCTTATTTTCATTTTAACTTTATAACAATAAACATGTTTGTGATGTGAAATGGGGAAAGGTGGGCTACCACAAATGGTTGTTTCAATTTCAATGTTTTTATTTTCCAATTAATATAATTAATGGTGATGCTGTAAACATATTTATAGAACCCCCAATAATAAATTTCACTTTAAACGCCTTTAGTTTAAGTTTTATGGACTGCAACAGTCTGATCTGTTGATGCAAAATATTTTAAATAAAATTGTGACTTGGAACAAAAAATCTGTATTTTACAAATTATTTACAATAAAACTTACTAGCCCCACATTTAACGTTCAATAAACTATTCCCCGTGGTGACCCCAGGTCACTCTCACCTTACTTATACTTAAACTCTCCAGCCCTCCCCCATGTGTGTTAACTATGTGTGGTCAGTGAAAGGTCAGTAGTGAAGTACTGATAAAGGAAAATGGTAGCTCCTTAATTTCATATGGCATGGGACATAAACTGAACTGAAATGGCAACTTGTACCTTTATCCCTCTATAGCATTTAAATTTTTGCATCATTATGAGAATTGGCAATATTGTTTCATCTTTTTTGGTTTGTTTGGATTAACTCTTATAACTTATTGTGCATTTTTGTCGAAGCGGTGAGTAGCTTAATTATTTCTACTGAAGAATGTAGGTTGGTCACATTTTATATGCTGGAGAAATATTGATTTCTTTACCTAAATGTTAATCCATGTTTTCATAAGATTATGTGAACTCCATCACACCACCTTTCAAATATAGGCATGAAAACTCAAAGCAAGACTTTTTAATACAAGTATTTGGGTGAGGGTTGCATGCAGTACAAAGCACTGATTTTTCATAATGGGACTCCTGACACAAGGAACACCTCTGTCCTGGGAGGACACCAAGAAATGGGCGGATCATGTCAGGAAGCATGGCATCAAGCAGTTCGTGGCACAGTACAAAAAGTTGATGTCAAGGAAGAAGGACGTGTTGTACTGGGGGGATGAGGTAAGATAGAAACCTTTTGAAAAGTGAACATATAGCATGGATTCTCAAACAAACATTTGAAGAACACACCCACCCCCCTCTCTCTCTTACTCTCTTTCTCTCGTTATCACTCTCTTGTAAACTAAAATGCCTAATATTGAGCGTGAGTGTCAGATTTCTAAATTGAGCATGAGTGTCAGATTTCTAAATTTTAGAAGAAAAATCTTTTTTTTTAATGCAATAGTTGTATAGCAGCCTAAATATAATAAGGTAAATTTTCTCAACTTGGTATACTCAGCCCGTTGACTATTTGATGAAAATTTCATGCTTTTATTTTGATTTTAGATTGAATACCAGCTAATTAAGTTCGACCACATCAACAGAAAAGTTTATGTTGCCTTAAAAGCTCAAGATGTTCTCAGGAGGCTGAAGGAGAACTCAGAAAAAAATTCAAAGTAAAATTTATAATCTATTTCATATCCATAAGTTTAAAAAAATATTTCTCAGAACTTGTATTCCTTTCAAAATTATGCATATTTTTTAACGTAATTAAATAAAATAGAAAATAGTTAAATATAAATGTGTTCATTAATAAAAAAAATTGTAAGTTATCTTGAAAAACTAGGTCAGTTTATTATCCATTAATATGTAGGCTATACAATCTAAACTTTTTCATAGTACTCCAGAAACAACATCATGGCACCCGGAATATGCATCGTATCAAGTTGAAGGGACACCTGGAAAACCTTATGGAGGTCTCATGGCCCATTTTAATACTGTAGAAGCAAATATGTCTCAAAGGTAAACTAAGTGACTCATCAAAGCACAGTATTTATATTTGTCTACAAATATTTTTAATAACTTTATATAAAACTTGACATAAAGTGATATGAGCTATGTATTTTCTTCAATTTAAAAGCTTTATGATGTCCAATGAAGACATACAGTCATACTTTTTAAATAGGTATAATTTTTCAATTCCTCAATTTAGAAGAAAAGAAATTCAAGATCAATTAGAGGAAGATGAAGCTCCACTTTCACTTACAGTATTTCCAAGGTAGTGTGAATGGTGATATGACCAAAATACGAATATGGTAGGTAATTAAATAATTAATCAAATATTTTCATGAAGTTTTTGAGACCAACAAGCACATTGTGTACTTACTTAAAGTATCAGTATTTTTATTATGTGTAGACTTTAAGATATTTTCAAAAGATTGGTTTATGTTAAAAATAAGAATATGGTGGAATATTATTTAATTATTCATTTTTCTTAGACTTGGTTGTGGGACATTTACCTGGCCAATTGCTAAAGCTAATCCAGTAAATGGAATATCAAGGTCACTGTTTTTCCCAGATGAAGCCATTAATCAAGGGCATGTCAGATTCAAGTAAACATTGATTTTTTAAATTTTAATTATAGTCAACCAATTTTAACTCAAAACAAGTTTTTTAAATTAAAAATTTACCTTAATTTATAATAATGTTAATATAATTAGTTTCCTTAAATTAACTGTTTACCTATGAAACAAAACCCGTCATTTATTGTTTTAGTTTTCTTACTGTATTAGTATTAGCCTTTATTAGGTGTATATTATTTTTAATCCTTTAAACTGTAATACTAGAAATATGTATTTAATCAGAATAATTCCAACTGTAACTAACTCTGATGACAACAAAACTGTTTTGTTAAAGGATCACTAAAAACAAATTCAAAATATTTTACCTAAATGCTGTATCTTTAAATATATATACAATTAAAGTATCCCTATATACTATATAGCCTCTTTAATATAAATTCAAATTCAATTCAATCTACTACTACAGGACTGTGACTAGAAATTGTCGAGTTCGGAGAACTGAGAAGATACTTATTAATATACCAAGTATGTTTTGCTTTCCTTTTATTTTAATGCATAACATTACATTATCATTAGATGTTTAGAAAAGTTAACAAAAAATTTAATAATACATTGGAAGGATGATTGATATTAAATAAAGGAAAAGCCATACATTTATTTACACTGAAGAAAAACCATAAATTTACACCATGGACTAATATGATGCTATGTATGAGGTGCTTTTGTGAGTACAAGGGCTATTTATAAATGACATCATGCTACTTGGAAGTGGGGGTCACAAATTTGTGATAATGTGTTATGAGGATGTCTAAATTTTATAATTATTATGTGGAGAGGGGGTAAAAATAGGACCAGATAGCATGATAATATTAATGCATAGCCCCTCATAAAATGTAAAATGTCTATCCTTTTTGATTGTACCATTAGTATCATTGTTAAGGTATTATCAGTTTAAACCTAATATCTTGCAATCGATATTCTATTTAATGAAAGTATACAAAGACATCAACACTCAATCCCCGTTCATAGAGGATTTCTCAATACTTGGAGATGATGGAACTAGTGCAGCCGCTGCCAAACCTGACCACATCTACATGGACTGCATGGGGTTTGGTATGGGAAATTGTTGTCTGCAGGTCACATTCCAGGCTTCTTGTCTAGATGAGGCCAAAGTACTCTATGACCAGCTGGCTGTTATGTGTCCTATTATGGTCAGTGTGTAATTATCATCACATTGTTTTTAAAATGAAGTAGTGCTCTTGTATGTCTTCAGCACATGCCACCAAATTCTATAGAATAATCATTTATAAATATTTTTTTTGGTTCTAATAAAATGTCTTTTTAATAATCCCATTTTTAACAAAAAAATAACTTACCCACATAACTAATGTTTACTCTTCCTAAGGATCAGTTACATGCATATGCTTAACTAGGGAATTTTGTATGTGTTCATCATGATGTTATTTTTTTAAGCAATGTCCAATGGCAATACATTTGTTTATATTGACATAAGTTTTGTTTTATCTTTTGGGCCTTTAGTTAAAGTATGCACACAAATTATTGATCCAATGCTTGCCTAAAATCGCAACATAAACATTAGCGAGAATATATTTTAAAATTTATTTTGACAGCTTGCCCTAAGTGCAAGTTCCCCGGTATACAGAGGATATTTGTCTGATAATGATACACGTTGGCCTGTCATTTCTGGTGCTTGTGATGACCGGACAAAAGAAGAGAGGGGTGTGGAGGTTAATAAAAATGATGCAATGAAAGATTGCTTGAAAGAATAGTGTTTTTAAAGATGTTGAAATTATTTGTCTAATTTTAATGAATTAATACATTATACAGTGCTAAAAGTCAATAATATATTATTAGCAGTTTTAGTTTTGAAGATAAAAGAATTTTTTCTAAATATTTTGAAGGAAAATGTTCTCATTTAAAAACTCAAGAAAAATTGTCTCTTAAAAATTATTAATGGAAATTGCTTCATATATTGTGTTTTGTAGATAAAGTTAAAAGCTTTCAATATCATTATCATTTAATTTAGCAGCTTCAATTATTTTTATGTTTAGCCACTTAAGGAGAACCAGTATAGAATAGCTAAGTCACGCTATGACTCTATAGACAGTTTTATCTCAACATTGGGAGAACAATACAATGACATCCATTTAACATTTAACCAAGAAATCTTTGAGGAACTTATCGCTCAAGGTAAATTTACTTTTAAATTATCTTATATATCATATCTGAACACTGCTCTTAGATGTCTTTATTTTTTCAAATACAACAGCATCTGTGGGGTAGTTAGGGTAAGTGCAACCTGGGGCTGGACATGATCCCTCCTTCCCACCCACCCCATTAAATGAAAAAGTTTTGCCTTTAAAAGATCAAAATGCCATTGGGTGAGGTGGGGGGGGGGGCTGCCATCTATACCCCATCCCCACTTCCCACACCACTGAACAGGATAACCCATATGTTTTTAACTATGATTTTTTCAAAAACAACAGCATCTGTGGGGTAGTTAGGGTAAATGCAACCTGGGGCCGGACATGATCCCCCCCTCCCCCCCACCCCATTAAATGAAAAAGTTTTGCCTTTAAAAGATCAAAATGCCATTGGGTGAGGTGGGGGGGGGGGGCTGCCATCTATACCCCATCCCCACTTCCCACACCACTGAACAGGATAACCCATATGTTTTTAACTATGATGTTGCAATAACGATGGCCATGGGTTTTATTAGCTTTTACGTTTTGGAGGCACAATCTATTCATTTTGGAATTACCTTGCTTGAAGCATATATTGTAAGAATATCTCCATCATGTCTGGTGCCATGAAAAGGACTAAATTCCCAAAAGCATCTGGGGTTGGTAATCTAGTGCTACTGTTGCTTCCACTTTCAGTGCATTGTCGAAGAGTGGAAAGACAATGACTAATAGCAGTCCCGCCAGCTTTCCTGGAAAAGCATTAATAAGTCTTAAAATAGCAACAAAGCCAAATCCGCTGCTATTGCAGTGCTTTGTGTGGTGATGAGGCTCAAGATGCATCAAGATTCATAAACTCTTGGGGCTACTTAAAATCATGAGCTATGTGTTTGTTAAATATTTGAGGACTTATACGGCCCTGAATCAAATTAGAAAATACTACTTTTAGCTTTTAATTCATGAAATGATGTTGCAATGTTGTTTTTTCAACAAATAGTGGCCTAATCAGACAAATATTTTTCTTTCAATTAAAACAATTTGACTACCATACTGATTTTAATTTTATGAAGGTGTGGATGATCTTCTGGCCAGGCATATTGCTCACATTTTCATCCGAGACCCAATCTCACTGTTTGTTGAACACTTGGATGAAGATGATGAAAATGACACTGACCATTTTGAGGTTTGTTTCATTTTTTATTTCTTCCCTCACTTTTAACTAAACTATAAGAAAACTCCTCACCTGTCTGGGACTCAGTTGCTTGTAGTGAGTGCCACCGAAACTTGTAATAACACTGACTTTATTGGCCATGATCCTAATACTGCATTCCTACACTAGGAAATGATGTATTTCATATACGTCCATTTCTTAGTTAAAAAAAATTGAAATAATTTGATGACTGCTCTTTCTTTAAAAAAATATTTTAAAAACACTTATTTATTTAAATTTGTGTTTAATTTTTTTTTTTTTGGTGGGGTGGCTTAATTTTCAGAACATTCAGTCCACAAATTGGCAGACCATGAGATTCAAACCCCCACCGCCTAACTCAAACATTGGCTGGAGAGTGGAGTTTAGACCAATGGAGGTGGATATTAATAAGCATTTTTTAAAAATTGCTACCGGTACAAGTTTTTGTTTGTTTTTTTTTCTATTTTTTGGGAGATAAAATTGATTGCATCAAACTATTCTAATTTGAAATTTTCCATTTGGTTCAAGTTTACAAAAGTATCCAGGATGTCACATGATTTATTTGTTCCAGGCTCAGCTGACAGATTTTGAGAGTGCTGCATTCTCTGTATTCATTTTGCTTCTTACACGAGTTATTCTGTCATACCAGCTCAACTTCCTGATTCCCATATCCAAGGTGACAATGAATGGTTTGTGTAAAATAGCCTACGTACATTAATGTGTAAAGAATCAAGTTTATTGTCAAAATTATAAATGATGAAGTCATATAAGCTAAAGTAACACATAATGTTACAGTTAATTTAACAAATATGATATTTTATTTGTCAACAAAGTTTTGATAATTTTATGGGATGACATGGAAGGGGTATGTATAGTTCTTTCTCAGGAACTATAATAAGAATGATAAGAATGTAATGAAAAATATCTTTATTGAAATCTTCATTATTTATTTTAAGCCTCACTTATAATAGAATAGTTTACGTATATGTTTTTTTTTTATTTCAAGTGGGCATTTTATATTATGCGGGTTATTTTCTTTTGCTTGTCCAGGTAGATGAAAACATGAAGACTGCTTATAAAAGAGATGCTGTCATCAGTGACAAGTTTTTCTTCCGTAAGAATATTCTGACAGGTGAGTTGTAAAATAAAACATAATATTTAATACATGATGTATTGACGTTTTTTAACTGAAAACAATAATTCTCTTTGCTATTTCCTTTTTTTATGTGACAAAAAATGACGTAAAAATGTAAAATATAATTGAACACCTACACTTCTTATATAATTCAGAAATGGTTTATATATTGGTTCCTTTCTGTGTCATTACACTAATCATGAATCCTATATAAAGAACAAAGTTTGTTGCAAAATTATTTCAACCTTAGGAGTAGGCCTATGACTATAAGTTAATTTAATAATTTTAATCTGAAGCATTTTTCTTTTCAGAGTACTGCAAAAATACATTGAATGGATTTGGCATTACTGATACAAACCAGGAATATGAACTAATGACGATCAATGAAATATTTCATGGAAAGGTGACATTTCTTAATGCTAGCAATCTTTTGCTTTGAAATATTATTTGCGGCAGAAAAAAAATGGCACTGCTTGTTATGTTTAGGACACCAGATGCCATAATTAGTCCACGACTGAATGCCCTCATAATTATTTTCAAAGAGCAGATGAATTTCAATTTTATTTGTTACATTTTATTTTAAGAAAATTAAACAGATGAAACAGTTTCACATACAGTTCACTCTACTGCCAAGTATTAATTCTATTGAAGTATCTATCATTGATCTATTTAGTTGGCTCTCCATTTACTTTGCTTAAAAAGATTTGTTTAAATACATTTTCAGGAAGATTTTCCTGGCCTGCTGCCCCTGATTGATTCATATATAGACAGCATTGATATAGATGTAGATACAAAGTGCACTGTCACACAGTATGTCAGACTGATATCACTGAGGGCATCAGGTACACCAACCAATCTACCATTTTATTTTCTTACCCTTTGAAATTATTCAGTTAGAGCAGCAACATTTAGAAGCATACAAAATTTATTAAGCTAGGTAACCTATAACTTGCTAGTCAGTCATATTCATATTAAATTAATTACAAAGATAAAGTCCTATGAAATATTCTCAAAAATAGATCTAAAAGGGTCCACGTCACATAATCCCAAAATTTAGTTACATTTTAATGTTGGTTTCCATAGAATTCGTTAAATATGTATAACTATTTCAAATGAGTCAAAGAGGCCTTAATCCTGTTCATTTTCTGCTAAGTTAATATTACAATAAGAGATAAACCCTAGAGATATTTTTAGAAAAAATTCCTGATTTTCTCAAAACTTGAAATTTGGGTTCACTGAGTCGCGATTTTTTTTTAAAAGGGGCTCCACAAGTTATTTACAAAGCCAGTTATTAGCAGTTACAGATAATTTCTAAAATTGACTAGAATTCTTCTATGTTGAATAGCTTTAATAATATTAACTAGAATTCTTCTATGTTGAATAGCTTTAATAATATTATGCTGTAAAAATGAATTTTGTTATGGCAAAAATTATTTCCATTTAAAAAAAATTGTTTCTGAAAATTTAGCTAATTAGTTTTTTTTAAATAATTTAACTAATTTGCTGATTTAAAAAAAAAGAGCTATCCATTAAACCCGAATTTCAAGTTTTGAGAAAATGTGAAAATTTTACAAAAAATCATTTGTATTTTTTCGAAGGATGTTTTTCACAAGTATTTTTTATGGGCGATTTTTTGTTTAGGTCATCTACAAACTACAGCAAAATGGATCCGCAACTTTGTTTTAAACCATCCTGAGTACAAGCAAGATTCTGTGGTTTCAGACTCCATCAATTATGATCTTCTCTGTCAAATGACCCAGATATCCAGGGGTGAACTTTACGACCCTAAGCATCTTTTCCCTCATGTGTCAAAGTCTTCCAACATGATTCCTGAGGCTGTGTGTCAGGCAGAGGCCTTCCTGGACCAGAAGTTCTCATGCGGCCAATGTAGATAGAATGGAGTAGAACAAATGGAACTTAGTGTACACAGAATAAGGTCTAAAGATATTAGGAGCTGATTGTTTGAATTGCACATGCTCCTCTTGAGGTACTATGTATGGAGTGTACTCAGTCCATGTCAAGTTTTAAAAATCATCGTGGAAGATGTCCAAGGGTGTGTATAATAGTGTTAAAAAGCGTATGTTACCCTTTCTGCAACCAACCATCTTCACTGTTAATTTTTTTCTAGATTAGCACTGGAAATTAAATTTTTTTTAGGTGCTTGAGGCATTTTTGTACTTACATTTTTAATACATTAATTAAGATTTCATATTTTAATCACAATTTACCAAAACATTTTTGTATCTCAAATTTTTTTGTACCCCAAAGTTTAGTAGAACACTTGTACTATTAATAAAGCAATGAAAAATGTGTTCAGGGAGACCCATCTTTTGTGAGCCTAAAAATTTTATGCAAATTATTTTAAAGCTTTACAATTAAATTGATGCATTTTGTTTATGTACCAAAAATATGGAGATATAATCAAACTATACTATGAAAGCATCAAAATTGTTTAATATTTTTAAAATGTACAGATGCAAATATTTTTTATATTGCAATAAAAGACAAAACCAAGTGCAGTGACATTCATACATTTTATTGCATATATAATGAGAACGGTATTTAATGTACACTACCAATACTTTGTTAAATTAATACATTTTATACTTACACAATTGAACATAAAAAAAAACCATTAAGCTAGTCAATGATTTTCGTTTTGTGATCCTTGTAAGTAGTGTTATCTGTGTCAGTCATGGCCAGTGCCATACTGTATTCATGTCAACAAAAAGTTTAAGGTGAATGCTTGACCAATAACTTAACAGTATCTACATTTCCGCCACAATATAGAAAATTCCAATTCACAAAATAATGGTTTACAAATTACAGTTACAAAATGTTACTGTAAAGCTACTGAGGTACATAAAAAGTATATTAGCACCATTTCTACGGTGGCATATAAAAAAAGTATATTAGCACCATTACAATTTTAATTGTAGAGTAGCATGAAATGATTCACACAGAAATGTTGCTTTTCTTACAAGGGCTTATTATAAACTGCTTTATAAAACACATTTTGAACTTAATTAAAAAAAAATTAAACTAAATATAATATATAACAAAAAGTTAAGCACCAGACCTGGTTACCCTGGAACACCAAAATTAGTACAATATGATTTCAGAATAGTACTTCGCCATCGAAAAATCGTACAATACCATATCATAATAGTAAGTAAAAAAAAAATACAGTGTAATGTTTACAGCTGCATAGGAAGGGGTGCTATCCGCCTGGGTGTCCCATTCTTTTCTTTATATGAACAACTGCAGTTTTATCATTTAAGGTGTCAATATCTATCCGCTAACTAAACAGCCAAAAGGAGAAGACTTTTGAAGATGTTGGAGGGGGGGATCGGAAATCTATGACACCTGCAGAAGTCACCCAAGTGAAAGTGGGGGTTTAGGGAAGGGGCACCCAACCCAGATTTTTAAAAATTTTTTTAATACAAATTCAAAATGCAGGGATGCACTTTGGCATTTGGCCTGAATTTAATTTTGAATCACTCTTAATGGGAGAACGACTGAAGAAAAGCTTACGTAAAATAAGGTTCTCTTTACCTACCTGTATTTATGCACATCCTTTAATGTTTGTAGTTGCTAACTAGTAAACTGTATACAATTTTTATTATTTATGATTACTTATTTGAATCTATTTTTTTAAATCAGTCCAAAAGAAGGGAGGGTACACCAAAATGGTTTGTGTATGTATGTATATAGTCTGCGTACAATTGTAAAAGGCATCATACATAGTACTCCAAAACTGTACCAGTAACAATGTCTGTAAGACTGACTGATCACAAAGTCATTTCAATTTTTTGTTTTTTAATCGAAACATGGTTTGTTTGATTGGAAAGAGAGTGCTGATATGTAAGGGTGGAATGATATAATGAAATGATAGAAACCAGCCCAAGAGGATATTACCAAAGAATATTTCAAAAGGATATCACAAAAATATACATAAAATGGGTAATTAACATAATATATCTTGCAATATTGGAATGTAAGAACAGTTTAAATTATTTAAGGTGAATCAGGACCAAGTGATTTGAAATGGTGTTGTTAAGCTTGTAAGAATGCTGGGAACAAACAACACCTGCAGGTGGAGTAGAAAGAAAAAAAAACAATCATCTGATCAACTTCTTTTACCAGATAGCTGTACATTTTTTTTACATTTGTGTCTATGAAAAATTCTGGTATAACTGAAAAACAATATCAAAGACTAGTCCATCTGTTCCAACATAAAAACTCAAAATCCGTTTCAAACCGAACCCAATTTTATCTAGGAACTTCTACCTGAGATCAACTAATAATGAGTGATGTCAAGTTTTAGATAAAGATTCAAATTTTTTTTTTTATAAAGGACCACCACATACACAAAAGTTATCAAGACATTTAAAAAAAAAATTAGAGATAGAAAAAAAAAATTTAAAATTGAAAATGTTAGTACTGCTCAAGTGATGCCACACTAGCTTGACCTTACCGTATTGTTGTAGATAAAATATACTGAATATCCATTAAGCATAACACTGCTCGGCTTCTGTTCCAGGCCGAAGACTGTGATGTTACTGAGTGCCATGGGTTCAGTTGTAAAGTTGGAGTGCTTTACTGTGTTTACAAGGCCAGCCTGGAGCAGAGATGCCATGAAATCATAAGTGCTCAAATATTAGAGTCAGATTTACAATTTATATCTAAAATCACATTTACAGTAAATACATATAGAATCATGTGTACAGCATATATATATATATATATATATATATATATATATAATGTTTACAATATATATAGCTAGAATTATGTCTATAGTATATATGTAGATCCATATGTACAATATATATCTATAATTATGCCTACAGTGTATATCTAGATGGCAACAGGCAGTAGCATTGGTTGAACTAAAGCATAACCAAAACAATCCTGAGTGGGGTGTGGTCATGGAATAACAGGCCCATTATTTGTTGCATTGCAGAGAAACTCCTCTCTGGTGATTCACACCATCCAAATCTTATCTAACCAACCAACACCTGTAAGTTGTCTTGATGTGCGGTTGAAGCAGATGTTTCTGTTTTCTGATGCTGCATGGTTTACTTTTGTCTTTTTTTAAACCTAATTCCATTGGGTTGAACTTGACAAGAAATTCTCTTAAACAAATCATGACTCGATTATGCTTTTTAACTAAGAAAAATGTAGCACCTTCTATTAACTAATTTTCTTTTGCTGATGAAATCTTGATGTGAGATCTCCAATTTTTATATCCTCATATTTCACCTATAGGTTTCTTAGCTTATTCAAATTAAATATTGATTTACCTTTGTCGCAGAGAAGGTGATCCAGTTATAGAGTCCCTGTTCAAAGGTATCTGTTGGGAATAGATTAGTTATTTGGTCTTAATGAGCTGAACAGAACAGGTCTATGGAACCATAGTAAGCAAGGTATTGCATTGAAAATATAAATTTTAATTAGTTTTAAAAAATTTATAAAATCATAAATATGAAAGAAAGATGTGGTAATTTTGCTTAATTAAAAAAAAAATATTTCTTTTATTTTTACCACCTTCAAATCCATAATTTAACACAATATAATTATGAGCACTGTAAAGCAGATGACCAGGAAATTTAAAATGACGAAACTGTGACGGTTTATGTTGCTATTTTTATGCTTAGACATAAAGTAACAACCAACATTTATTTACCTATGGAGTCTCCATCATCAAAGAATATTTCCCCATTAGCATTTTCCGCAGCATCTAACACAACCAGGAGCCAGAAAGGCTGTGTGCGACTGCAAGATGAAAACATACCAAATTTGTGCCACTGTCTTAATTGCCTTTTTTTTTTTTTTTTAATTTTTTTTAATTTTTTTTTTTTGTTGTTGATTTTTTTTTTTTTTTTTTTTTTTTTTTTGTATATATTTTTTTTTTTTTTTTTTAATTTTTTTTTTTTTTTTTTTTTTTAATGGAACAAATGTTTATTTTTTTTTATTCCATGACAAATCAAAGGGTTAATCTTTAAGGTCACAATTATATATATTTTTTGATGAATTAATCACGTTGAAAGTTTCTCTTTTGTTGCTCAAGGTTTAAAGAGTAACCACCAGATGACAATTCTATCAGTGGACTTCTGTTTTTGTTTAGCCAAGCTTGCTAGGAGAACATTGCAGAAAAGACCGTAGAAGCATTTCAATAGTACTACTGTATTATATTTTTAAAAATTAATTTTTAAATCCTAAAAGAGCATACTAGGCACCCACCCCCCCTCCCCCCAAGGGGTTTGGAAATTCATTTCTAGTGTTCAGTGCAAAAGACCACACTGGTAATAGCCAGGTGAGAGAAACAACAAACCTTATGGCAGTGGTGAGGCCAGGTGGTTGCATTGGAAGCACATGTCCACCACGTACGTGCAGGTTGATCACATCTAGTGGAGCGTCAAGCCTTACATGCTGGCCAGTATCCTCAACTTTGGCTCCAGAGTAGAAATCATACCAGCGGTCTTTCGGGAAATAAGCAAGGACTGATCTGTCATTCTGTGAATAAATACTTTCAACTTGGGTTATTTTGTTTAATACTTCTACATTCCTTTTCCCTATTTTGCCTTATGTAAAACAATCTAGGCAATCATGACAAAGTCCTAATGTTTTATATAAGACAACTCTGTACCTCCTTCAAGACAGGGGAAATCATCAGAGCAGGCCCCCACATAAACTGGCTGTCCAAATTATAAGTTGTCTTGTCATCAGGAAATCTAAGATGAAATAGTTTCAACAGTTATGTAAAAATTACCAGAATACTAAGATTACATTATTAATTATCATCACAAATAAACATTTAAAGCTTATTTAAAATCATAATGACATAATTTTCTCTCAAATACATTAAAAGGGACATTATGGCCCAATCACAAGATTTGTATTTTCCTGGCCCATATGAACTGAGTTTTATGGAATAAAAAGTGACCTTCCATGAGGACTCACTCAAATACCAGAGGCCTTGCAACAGTGCTCCCAAGGGCATGGCTTTTGAACATGAGAGTGTAGAGATAAGGCAACAGTGAGTAGCGAGTCAGCAAAGCTTTACGGGTGGACGCAGCTGATTCTGGACCAAACTGACCAGGATCTTGAGCCTTTGTAAACAAAAAAGCAAACAACATATGAAACAACGCAATTAAACATAAATTGTATAACATCTAAAAATATAAAAGACAAACCTCAAATCTTTAGAAATGAACAGATAGTGATTGTAATCATACATAAAAGAGACGTCTAAGTTCTATATAATGCTTTCCTTTACACACAGAACAGTTGAAATAACTGTACAAGTAAAACAGATTCGATTCATAGAAAAAAAAAAAAAATAATACAAGAGTTAGCTGAATTACCACAGATGAGTCAGAGTTATGGTTCCTAGAGAATGTGTAGAAGGCTCCAAGCTGATGCCAGCGGGTGCACAGCTCAGCAGTTGTGTTTCCATTGAATCCACAAATGTCAGAGCCTGTCACTGAGATACCATACATATTGGCATGAAGCATAGCTGGGGAAGAGATTATTTTTTCATGATTTACATGACATTAAAAAGCACTAATCATGATTTATCAACTAACTAGTCAATAATAACTTTTCTCACATTTCTACCTGCTTTAAGCGGCCAATTTGTACCTTGTACTTCAGGGATATATAAATAGTGACTACCTGATATGGACTTGTACATGTCATAAAATGTTGCTGCATTATCCCCTGACCAGTGTCCACCATAGTGGCCTTGACCCGAGAAGGTTGACCTCGATATGACAAAAGGTCTTTTGAACCGAAGCTGCTTCAGTGCTCTGAGAATTTAAAAAAATCATAACATTTGATTGATACGTTTTCATATACTACTGCTCAAGCCTTGGCACGGGAAGCCCTGCATAGCAACAGTGAACACACTATGAGCAGCTCATGTGAGTTAGCCTTAGGTAAAACCAATAGGCCATATCGTTGCTTACAAACATACTGCTGTTATGATTCACACTAGACTGATTCAACTTACCGGTTAGATCTGTATGTTTCAAAGTAGCCATAGATGTTATGTATGTTGTAGTGGCTTGAGATTTTGTGTTGAGCTGATGGACAGATGGTCTTTGTGTAGAGATTTCCCCCTGAAACAGCTGGGATGACAAGATTAAAGAGTTGGCTCAGTGGATTATTTATTTTTCAATAATAGAAGGAAATTATATCTTTTATGATAGTGAGTCACCTTTAGATGTAGTCATCTCATCAAATAGTTCTATTATGACAATTTTAAAAAAAATTCACTTCTTTCAAAAATACAGAATCACCACTTTTTAAAGTTGTCAAACAAATAGATGTTATTTAAAAGAATCTACCTGGCAGGTATGGTGGATTGTCGTAGCTGGATTTAGGGTCACATCCATTGATGGAACCATCAATAAAATTAGAAATTTCATTCATGTCCTGGGAATAAGACAATTTTAAAATCTAAATGAAAAGACCTTTATAAATTTTTTTTAAAAACATATAACCATTTGCTTATCCTAACATGCATTAAATTTCAAGCTAATAGCTGTAGTTGAGAAATTGCTGATGATGTCTAGTGTTTAGTAAAAATGAATGCCTTACCACCCACATGCCATCAAATGGTACTTTGTCATGAAATTTTTTTGCAATTTCTGTCCAATATTGAGTGGCAGCAGGATGAAGAAAATCTGGCCAAACAGTTGTTCCAGGCCACACCTGAAAAATTCTTCATCAAAACAATTTCTTTGGGTTTTTATCAATGTGCATTATATCTTTCTTCATACAAAATCCATTTCATGTTTGAGACATTTCTATTCATAGTGTAGCCACAGCCTACACATACACCCAGCAAAGATTAAAATAACCATGACTTAAGGGGGACTATTAACATGGTAGAGTACAACAAGGCAAAGAAATGTTAGTCAAGGCAAGGATTTGCCAAAAGCTAAAAAATTATAGGTTTAATTATAGTTTGATCAAGTCATAATTTATTTTAACATAGCCAAAGTAGTGTATCAAATGAAACACCTGTTTAATCTGTGTACAAACTCACCCTGCCCACCAGGGGCTTCCCATCTGATCCATTGATGAAAATCCCAAGTTTCACACCCAGGTCGTAAGGCAGGTAAGTTCCAGGTGTGGCGTTATTGCTGATTCCACAGTCCTAAGGCAACATTATGGAAGAGGGAAACACAGACATTTGAGAATTTTTATCCAAACAATAAGTAACATTTTTTTCTTTCATGGTCATGGAGCCATAACGTCATGGTTCAAATCCTAATGCAACCCATTCAAAGCCACTATACTGGATAAAAACAACACATAGTTGTGAGTACTTGCCACCATGATGATGTAGTGCATGCTCCTAGCATGGATCTCCTTAGCTAGGCCTGCTTGGTCTCCAAAAGTGTGCACATCAGTTGTATACACCCTGCCCCCTTCAGCATAGTCAATATCATTCCACTGAACATCCTACAGAATACAGAAAGTATAATTGATGAACATTTTTTTTTTTTTTACATCAATGCTTCCATGACACCATTACACGACTTTTCATACTTATTTTACAAATTGTTTTATTTAAATTATTGCTTTTTTGCTCAATGACAGTTTTTTAATGGATAAATTGCTACATTGGGATTGCCTTCTTATCTCTCCCACAGTAGAATTGTGTCAGATTTATTGAGTTAAATACCTGAAATCTATTTTCTTTTAATAAGCACAATATTAAAGAGCTTAAAACTGTGACTATTTTTGATCAAACTCTTTATTAAAGACGTACATAAATATTCAAAAGAATGTAATGACTTTAAGATTGATATTTTTGGAGGCCAATGAACAAGACTCATAAAAATGTTTTTAAGCAGCAACATACACCCACCAAAAACCTTCTTTTTTTGGTGTGCTTTATTCGAGTGTACGAATTTTAACAGTTTTGTGTGTGTGTGTGTTTCTTTTCAATTTCAAGGGAACTAAGTGGGATATAATAATAGATTACAATATTTGTTACTAGGATTAAAATCAGTTACATTTGTACAAAGAAATTAAAATAAAAAATGTTTAAACTGCATAGAGTTCAGAAATGTTAAATCAAAGATCAGAAAAGCTTTGATAGATGAAACACTCATCACGATTAAGTTACCAAAAAAAAAAAAAAAAAAAAAAAAAAAAAAAAAAAGAAACAATAAAAAAAAAAAAAAAAAAAAAGGTTTAAACTGCATAGAGTTCAGAAATGTTAAAACAAAGAACAGAAAAGCTTTGATAAATAAAACACTCATAACGATTAAGTTACCAAAAAAAAAAAAAAAAATAAAGCATAATAGATGAATCTTGAAAATGTAAAGAAGAATAATAGTGAGTTTTAAACATTTTTAAACTTTTCATTTGAGTTTTATTTATCAAGGGTATTGGGGAAAATATTAATTCGTATTGTATTTGACCGGTGAAGTCCACTTCACTGACCTGTGGAATGCCATACTGCCTGAGTCTATCCATAGTTTTCAGTGTGTTGTTTGCGGTGCCATAATATTGCCAGCAGAGATGAAACCCTAGAGCCCAGTACGGTGGAAGAAAAGTTGTACCCACCAAACTGACATACTGTGATACAACACTGTCAAAACTTGAGCCAAGGAACACATAAAAATCAAAATTTCCTCCAATGGTCCGCCAGGTAACAGCTGGAGCCGGTTGGACAATCACCTCTGACACAATGAGAGCATGCATTGTATAAACATTGTCTATAAACTATGAGATATGATGGAATGGGCTTAGTGCTAAGTCAGTCCACCTCTCTCTTCTCCTATATTGCTATGTATTGATGAACATTTTTGAACATACCCATTGCATTGGAATTTTGTAGAAACACTCCGTGCCAACCCGTGGCATCTTTGCACACATAGAAAGGATGTGATCCATAGAGGTTTGTATTTTCCTAATGGAGCAAAAGAAATGAACATGATAAATCAATATAACAAAATTATTCGGGTTCTCTACACCAAACCCTATGGAATCCAAGCTTTATTAACTACTAATTGTAAAGAAATACAAATATAGATACCAATCATGTAGAAAAAAAAAAAAAATCCATTAATTTAAAAAATCAAAAAAAAATCAAAAGAATTAAACACCATTTTTTGCTCTGAAATAAATTTAAATGCAAAAAATTTTGATGGAAGAATGTCTTTTTTATATTTATGATATGGAATACAAGATTTATTAACTACTAATTGTAAAGAAATACAAATATAAATACCAATCAAGTAGAAAAAAAAAAAAAATCCATTAATTTAAAAAATCAAAAAAAATCAAGAGGATTGAACACCATTTTTTGCTCTGAAATAAGTTTCACTGCCAAAAATTTTGATGGAAGAATGTCTTTTTTATATTTATGAATATAGTTTCAAGTGTATGTAGTTAAACATAAAAAAATTCACTGATTATATCTAAAATATTAAATGGATACTTGTTTTAAGGTGAGTCTTTTAATTGATGACGTTTTAAAAAAAAAAGGGGTTGAGAAATCTCTGGCACACAAACACAGTTGAAACATATACATAATTAAAGTATACTACAAAACAATAAAACCACAATTGACAAATGATATAATTAATATTCTGTACTCCATTTATGTTGAGCAACATTGAAAGAGTAAAGAACAAACATTCATACAAATAAAGTTATATTTTCATCAACTGTTAGATAGTGTACCCTAAAAATAATGCACCAACCTGTGGGATGTGGTCTCGATTCCAGAGGACAATTCTTGTCCATGTTGTGTTGATCATCAAGTCCTGACGGTGCTCACCTAGGCCATAAAGGACATGGGATGGGATTACAGTTGACAGCTGCAACAGCTGGTCAGAGTAGACAAATCCACCAGCTGTCTGTAAGCTTTTTACAAAAAGAATATCCAATTTTACTAATCCAGTTACTACTTTAAGTTCAAAATTAGCAACACTCTTTGCGTATAATCAGTTGAACATAACTCAAGGTCCTTTAAAATAGTTAGAGTTCTCTTTTCAAAGCACTGCATATTATAATTTGGATGAATTTTGTTTCTTACTTTGTTATACAACAGTACAGTGAAATAAATAATTTTAAAAAAAACATGTTTCCATGGGGTGAATAATTTTATGACATTTTATCATTATTCAGAGTTATTTTATAAAATATATAGTTTTCTGGTGTATTTTAAAAGCAATGAAAATAGATAAAAGCTTATTCAGTACCTATGACAATGTTTATTTTATAAGAGATGTTTAAAACACCTTACATGGGTTCACCGGACCTTCTCAGAACCTTGAATCCAAAATTGTACTTGGCAGAGGGAAGCTCTACAGAATAATCCAGGGCACGTAGTTCAGAAGATGTGTCGGATTGGGGAGTTCTTGGTAGGGTTGGGGGTTCCCATCTTGTCTTATTAGAATCTCTAAACTAGCATTTGAAATGTACATAAATAATTAATGGCTAAACGGTGCACTAGCACTTCACAGTAACAAGTTAAATATATATATAAACTTGTTTGTACAGTATTTCCTTAAAACAAAAATTAAAGAAAGTTATGCACCATTTAAGAATAATGTTGTTATAGTTATAGCCTATGTCTTGATCTGATTTTTTTTCTGACTCCCTCCCTATAAATATGCCAACAGCTTTCCCAAACAAAAGAGATGAGAGAGATTTTTACTATTTTTCATAGACATTTACAAGATGGAATATAGTTATTTACAAGATTTTACTCTTTATGTGTGTGTAATTTAATGTTTTTATATTTCGAGGATTGTACTTTTTCCCTTTTGTGAGTTGAAATAGTTTTTTTATTTACTTTTATTTGATTTGTTATTCTTTATATAAATTTAAAAGTATAATTAAATTTAATATTGTAAAAATCACTAGCTATGGTATCATTTTTTTCTTTGCATTCTGGTGTTCAGTCCTATGTTATGTCATTTTCATTTACAGAGCTAAATCTTAAAACAGATTTAATTTACAAAACCATGTAATTGTATGTAAAGACATCAATATTATTATCATTATTATTAGTTTTAGGTGGTTTTATATAGCGCAGTACCCCAGCCTAGGGCTAGGCTCACTGCGCTTTACATAAAAATTAGCAATAAAAGAAACATATACATTTAAAAACAACAATTGGTGAAAAGCTTGACCTAACTACTCTAGTACTATCTACTCCTGTCCAGCACCCAGCAGAATCAAGCATTGTTTATCAGTCAGAGGGGGGTGAGAATGAGTCGGTATAGCACAATTTAAAGAGATGGGTCTTTAGGGCACTTTTGAAGGCTGTGATGGTCGTTATATTCCAGATGTGTAATAGGAGAGAATTCCATTATTTTGGGGCACAGAAAGAGAAAGATCTTTCACCATATGTTTTAGTGCCTGTTCTGGGAACAGAAAGAATACGTGAGTCAGCGAAGGAACGAAGCTTTCAAAGGGGTGAATAGACAGTAAGATCAATCAATAACTTGATTATGAACTGGGGTTAAAACAAATTCATTTTTTTTAATGCAATGACTTTTTAACATATATTTTTTTTAAAATCATTAACATTTTTGAGTTTGAAAAAAAAAATGCTTCTTTAATCATGATTTCCCTTTTTGCTAATAGATAAATAAATAAACATATAAACTATGAAAATCTCATTCCTTAGACCTCAATGAGGCGAAAAATAAATAGATGCTTTTGGAGGAATTTGAATACAGATTACTGTATCTTTTTTTATGCGAAGCATACATTTATTACAAAAACTACACCCGTATTCGCACTGTTAGTGACGATGTCAATAGTTTGATCTTGGTGTTCAGTGGAATTCAAACCCTTTTCCAGCAAAGTAGCAATAACTTTACCCCTTATCGCAGAGTGCACTCCACACCAAATAAAGAGGAAACTGCTGACCTTTATTCTCAAGCTGGATTTCGTCAGATATGTAAATTCCACATCAACATTCTGCACATCATCGGGGTAAGGTGATCTGCCATCCCTTCGCAACTTTATTGTTGCACCACCTGCCATGTGCCGGGCATTCAGTACAATATAACTGACATAATTTTGGGGAAAAAAACATTCTGGAACTGTCAAACCAGAAGGAGTAGGGGGGATGGGTTTTTTAGGTGGTTCCCTAGATGGTCAGATGAAATGACGAAATTTTTAATTGGGTTTCATTTTAAGAATGTGTAAAATAAAATAAAAGTCAGGCTAAAAAAGAAATTTGGCTTTAATCTAAATGAATTTCCCATAACCTAGCCAGTATCAAATGCATAATAAGCTTGAGAAAGGTAAACCCAAACAGACTAATGCTATGGTATGCATTAAAGACAGATTTTAAATTTTAATTAATTAAATAATGAATAACTATTATAAAATCAGATTTGCAACTAAAATATGCAGATTAAGTACCACTGATACAATTAAATTTTTGCCATGGTTTAACTGCTCAAGTGATTGAGGTAAACAGGAGATTTTGTTAATACAAACCAAGTACATTCTCTACTGAGGCATTTCTCCTTTGTTGAATTGCCTTCTGGGATGCAATCAAACCTTGAGCTGTCCTCACTTGTTTTAATAGATGGCTTCACACTCATGAACACAACATGTCTGTCGCGGCTTTGATACAATGCCACAACATTACAGGTGGCTAATACAAGTAAAATGAACAGCACAAGGTACATGTTTAAGATGCAGATCTTTAACCTGTAAACATTAAATAATTATTTTTTTATTTTTTGTGTTGTTTTTATACATTTAGTATTTGAATTTTAAAAAATTTTTAAAATCTTTACAAAATTTTTTGAATAAAAATTGTCAAACATGGCATGATCAGCAAAATCTCTTTCCGTAATCATAAGGGCGAAGCATATTAATATTTTATAATAATTATTAATTTTATTATTAAAATATAGGAAATCTGATTCTTAAGTAAGGTTTTTAATCTATGGCTGAACAATATGTTCAATTGCAGAAAATAAAAGTTAAAAACTAAATCATTACAAAAATGTAGACTACATTATTACATCACTCATCATAAGTTAAGTCATTAGTACGGATAGCAGTAACAGTAATAACACTGTTTAACTAAAATTAATCCAATAAAGAGGCCGAAGGCTTACAGGTAGACCAAGACTGAGGTGTATTGATGATGTAAAGATGGATCACTGCATTAACTGTTTATCATGGAGACGTTAAGACATGGGTCGGTCTGAATAGAAGGAAGTGATTTTGCAAAGCAGACCAGAGACCTCCATGGGCTGTAGGGCCATTGAATTGATGACATATTAACAACCACTAGGTCTAAGTATTATAATGATATAATTATTACATAACTCTCTTTGGCTTTGACTTTGGTTTGTCCAACTGACTTTGGTCCCAATCCGAAGTTCGGACTCTGGCGTTATAATTATTATTTAAATAATAATATTAAAAACTAAATCATTACAAAAATGTAGACTGCATTATTACATCACTCATCATAAGTTAAGTCATAAGTACGGATAGCAGTAACAGTAATAACACTGTTTAACTAAAATTAATCCAATAAAGAGGCCGAAGGCTTACAGGTAGACCAAGACTGAGGTGTATTGATGATGTAAAGATGGATCACTGCATTAACTGTTTATCATGGAGACGTTAAGACATGGGTCGGTCTGAATAGAAGGAAGTGATTTTGCAATGCAGACCAGAGACCTCCATGGGCTGTAGGGCCATTGAATTGATGACATATTAACAACCACTAGGTCTAAGTATTATAATGATATAATTATTACATAACTCTCTTTGGCTTTGGTTTGTCCAACTGACTTTGGTCCCAATCCGAAGTTCGGACTCTGGCGTTATAATTATTATTTAAATAATAATATTAATATGTATTTGTTTTTCACTCAGTAGAGCAGCCATGAACCAACTCATTCCAAACAGTGTGCACTACTCTGAGTAAACTAATAATACTAATAGTAGCGGCGATTCGGACTCAGGTCCCTTAAGACTAAATGCTGTTGGGATGTCATTTGTGGTAGTTTATTTTAGTTAAACTTAGACTAAAGAAGTCAGTTCACAAACATTTGTCCATTCAGTTACCTTTTATAGCCTTTCATTTGATACCAGATTTTGTTTTACAAACCTAAAAATAATATTTTAAATATTTTTTAAAATAAATAAACCCAACCTCTCACTATTGACTCTTGAATCCCGGGTCCGGATAGCCGCAGCCTTACTTATGACTTATAGTGTATAGCTTATTAATATTAATATAGTTAAATATAGTTATAATATAATTAGTGATAGGAGTATGGGCCCCTAATGCCTAATGCCCCTATATACACATTTTGAAGATTTTAACACCCGGGCAGCAACAATTTTAATTTTAGGTAATTAATATATTCAAATATTGACTACCAGGGAAATGATAGTGATAGGCCTATTCAATAAAGTTAATAAAGTCTATTACAACTAAATAGGAATACATATATCATATATTATTATATTTAAACTATTTTAAACGATTAAATGTAAACATTGCTGGTCTACCTATTTACCGGGATGCGTGTATTATTTGATTTGAGATTGTCACTTCAAAGTCTTATACCTACATGATCAGTTTGAATTAGGCTAATTTATGACCGCCACGAAAATGCACTTCACAAAGTGATAAAGTTAAAATTAGTGGCCATTATGGAAAATGTGTTAGTTATAAACATTTTTATTGTCTTGATAAATGAAAAGCTGGACTCATTGTCCTATAGCAGGAAATATAGGCCTATTTAATAATACATAACTAAAATATTTTATTCACTGATGACTGTGCGGTAAATTTAAATGCTATTTAGAACTGCAGATGGATCAAATACTTGATCACTTTGATAAGATCTAGCCATCAATACATTTTAATTATGATTTTAAAAAACCAGCCAGCTCCAAGAAAATAAAAAAGAACCTCACATTTTAGTGCAGGTACTGAAGTTAGGCTTACCTAATCAAGCATTAGAAAAGTTTTTTTTTCCGTAAGTAATGTTTTTTTTATGCAGGAGCGGTTAACATTCATTGATGTTAAAGAAAAACATAATGCGTCTGTCATGACATGTATTTGCCTACATTACAATTTACATGTATTTTACATTTGTAATTAAAAGCATTGGGCTTGGGAATAATTATACCAATTAAATTAACATAGCATAGTAAGAACCTCAAATGAAAACTGTTATTTAACTGTTTTCAATAATTGCTTGTTTTTTTAAAATAATTGTATACAAAAATAATGTTATAATTATACTCTTGCTTAGCCTAAGAATTGATTTTATACTGGGCAATATGCGCAATGGTCCGAAATAACTTAACTTTTACAAAATCTAACTATTTGATAGATCAAGTTGAAATAATCGCGTTATCTGATCTTTCTCGGACTGACCGCAGTTCTAACTTGGATGTCGGTAATAAGAGTAACTAACTATTGACAAACTTCAATATACAGTTAGTGGGTGGTAGTATTAGTAAGACCAGTATAATTTTTAAAATTAATCATTAGCCTTTTTTTGTTATAAATAAAGTGAAATCTGTGAAACCTGTGTGTGTATTGTAGGTGTAATATTAATAATTTTAATAGTATAGTTAGTTAAATTATTTTAAATAGCTATTTATATTATAAATAATAATATAGCAAAAGGTAGGCGTAGGCTTTGCATGGCATCGGCATGGCAATCATCTGGCAATGGCATAGACACAAGTTTCAAAATAATCAAAGTTTTGAGAGAGCTGTCACTCTCATTCACTCATTGGTCTAAGATTTTTCTTATTTTCAAGCTTTAACTTTTATTAATAAACAATGGCATCCAGGTAGGAAATCAGTCATCAGATCCATGTGCTGTGTAATAAAATTGTTGTGGTAGGAGTAGGATGCGAGAGAAAATTTGCTTGCCCATTCTTGTGTAGTATTAATATTAATTAATTGGATGCTTTAAACAGTGGAGTGGTTATCATGACTGGTGGAGAATGTACAAGAAATTAAATTAAAGTAAATAACTAAATAGACTTTCCTTAATTCAACTTAGATATATTTTTCAAAAAAATTTCTCAATCAAAAATCGGAAAACACAATATTTAACCAACATCCAGTTAGTACTCTTTAAATGATATACACAATATTTAACCAACATCCAGTTAGTACTCTTTAAATGATATATCACACAACCTATTTAACAACAAAGTGTCTACACGTCCTGCGCGCCGGACAATTAGTGCGGGAAATATACGTCCGGCAGCCTTGTCACGTGACCGCCGGACGACTGGAAGGCGTTATTATTCCGGCAGGTCATGTGAAAAGTGGTCACCGGCAAAATAGTTGCATTGCATTTGATATTCCGATCCCTAGATAATAAATATATGCTGAACATGTTAATATATTCAAATGCTCTGAGATACATTAAATGTTTGACTTTGAATGTTAAAATATATACTAACTAGTAATACTATTACTACTAATATTACTAGTCTATTTGATTCCGACTCTTCAAAGAAAAAAGTCCCTTATCTTGGTTAAACATCTTGTAAAGCTCTAGCTTGAAGCTTAAATTTCAAATCTGAACAAAATAAAATAACACCAGTAGACTTCAATAGACCTATGTCAATAAAGTTGTAGTTCATGATTAGTATTGCATGAGAAGTAGGCTAGGCTGCCACTATATCGGCCCTATATTAAGATGTAGGGTCTTTTCTTTGTGAAATATCTGCCTCCCCGCCTTAAACTTAATTATTTATCACGATAACTATTATTTTTTTAGCATTCATATTTTTTTGCTTTTTAGCATTCATATTTTTTTAGGCAGTGTCTACACGTCCGGCGCGCCGGACGTCTATCTCCCGCACTATGTGTCCGGCGACCAAGTCACATGACCGCCGTAACAAAGTGGCGAGAGATATCGTGTCGGTCAGCCTTGTCACGTGACTGCGAATAATTCAAAACTATTGTTAATTTTAAAATCTATTTCTCTACCAAGTAATGTACTGAGTATCTTGAATGCAAATAATAGAAAAAGAAACTTAAGTGAAAGTGGCTTGTAAACATTTTTGTTTAGTTTGTTATTTTTTGTGTACCAGTAATCCATAAAATAAATTAGGGGCCAGTGTGGCAACCAATAAAAGTTAAAGATTTCATTTTAAATTATTTCAATTGCTACAAAATATTTAAAAACTTCTCATGAAACTACTGTTGCTGAGGAACATGATAATATAAATATATACAAAATATTTTAATTAAAATGGGAAGAAAAAAAACGACCCTATCCCCGGTATAGATCCTCAAACATTCCTATCGTCAAGCAACCACTCTACCACAAGACCAGACAAGATGTACTAAATCGTACTTCGTTTGGAATTATAAAAACTACTAGCCGTCCGGCCATGTCCGGCGGTCACGTGACAAGTCGCCGGACGTGTATCTTGCGCACGACACGTCCGGCGCGCCGGACGTGTAGACACTTCGATTTTTTTATTACCGTAATTCTCTCTCCACCTCAGCATTGCTTCCTTCTAGATTGCATTATTGCTTAACCCCCACTTTGTTTTGGTAATATACCCAAGTATTTTTTTTTATTATTTGTTTGCAAGATACTCAGTACATTACTTCGTAGAGAAATATATTTTAAAATTAATAATAGTTTTGAATTATTCGCGGTCACGTGACAAGGCTGACAGACAAATATCTCGAGCCACTTTGTTACGGCGGTCATGTGACTTGGTCACCGGACAAATCTCCCGCGTGTAGATACTGCCATTTAACAATGAAATGACAGTGAACCACATTTTTTCCCAAACCAAAATGTGATGTTTTTTACATTTTGAAAGTTATCGCAAAACCTGTCTAATGCAAAATGTGCAAGATGGGACAAAAAATTTTCCCCTGAAAATGTGTGACGCAGAGACACATCTTTTGCATTACAAATCTTAACTGCTACTACACTGTTTCTTTTCTAAAATCTTGAAAAACCCTGTGTGATTGTTGTCAGATTTTTATGAGACTGAGGAATGTGAATGAACTGAGGGTATTCTGTGTTAGTGTAAATTTCGGCCACACATAGTTAAAGTAAGACTAATGAAATGGCAATAATGCACATATATAGGCCTGCATATATTTTGTTTAGATGTTCATAGCAAGATTAGTCAAAAACTGTAGCGTAAGCTACTTGTTGTCGTAGATGTTAATTTGACTGTCTACAATAATATCTTGCTTGGTTTCATAATTATTCTGTGGTTGTTAATATTATACATAATAATAAATAAATTTACCAACTTTGTCTTCCAATTCTTCTTTTCATTATCCATCCGTCCCTATAGCGCTACAGCCTATGTAGGGCGTTGGCCTGCCTCACCACTTCCTTCCACTCAGATCTAAGCCTACTTAATGCTTTTCTTTTCCATCCTTGGATTCCCAGCTGCTGTAGATCTTTTTTTTCATCATCATTCCATTCAAGCCTAGGTCTGCCATTGAGCCATTTTCCTCTAGGATTTTGGTGGTGATTGTTACATTATTCTGGCTGAAACTGCAAATAGCACAGGCACCACTTCTACCTCAATTCCAAGGGCTTATGCTATTCACAGATTTCACTGTATTTTCAAAAAAAAAGAATCAACTTATATCATAAATCATAGGGTTTATATTATTCAAATATTGTCTCTCTGTAAGGGCATAATAAAACAACCACTATTTAATTTTAAAAAATTGTACTAGATCAATGGTCGGTTATGGTTTTTTTTTTATGAGAAGCCCTTTGAATAAATTATATGATTTTTGTACTATATCTGTTAAGAAAATATTTTTGGCTTCACATGTCTTTACAGATAAGTAAAAAAGGGGCTTTAAGTATATCTTGAAGTTTCAAAAAGAGTAGTTGCTTAGTCGTGGGTTGCTGACCACGTTATTGTATATTAAATTCTAGTCTTTTCAATTTACAGGTACAGATTTTACCAGTCCATGTTGCAACAAGTAAGTGTCTTTGTAACTTAGATTTGTCATTGAAATAAATGCCACTGTGTCCTGTTTCATTTTAAAATATGCTAAGCGTCAAGAATTTTGTTGGGTGTACACAAGAGTATCACTAGACACTAAGTCCTTTCCAAAGATTAATAAATCATTTTTTTTATTACGTTAACACTACTTATCCACAGTCTCGTCAGTACAAACGATAACACAAATAATCCATTTATTGCAGTAAGTTTGCTAACAACTTAGCCAAAAAAATACGCACTAAGGTAGAACATTTTTGTTGGGTTGAATTACAGGGTACAATTTTGGGTAGGCTTATTTGTTCAGCATGGTTGTTGCACTTTCTGAGGAAAAAAAATCGACATGGGTCACTTTTATGGAAATTTAATTGTATACTCTCTATTTATAAACCACTTGAAAGTGATCACTAAATCAAGGAAAATAGTTAAAAATTAAAAAAATAAAAAATCATTGCCATTTAAACATATTTTTCTCTCCTGATGAAGAGCCTCATTATTGTATTTCCTGGTGTGGGGTAAAATTTTAACAGCTGTAAGCTGTCTTATAGATTAAATTCATTACCTTAAGCTTGTATTATGAAACTTTTTGGCCTTGTACTAGGCAGAGTTCACTTAGATGCATTAGTTTAGAGCAACCTGTTTAAAAAAATCACTTAGTATTACAATAGACATGATGCATACCAAGTTTAGTTAAAGTATGATTGTTTTCTTTGTCACAGGTAACCAGCCCTTGAACATTGTCTCTTCAAATAATGGCATCCAGTGCCAATTTGAATCTTATTGAATGCCCATATGATCCAGGACATATGATATCACCCATTCGGATGCCATACCATCTTTATAAATGCCGAAAGGTGAGAATGTAATTAAGCACTGTAATGCGAGATATATATATTATTTTATATCAATTATAAATATAAATTCATTATTTTAACAGTTCAATAATTATTCAATTTTCTTTGTCTCACAAAATTTATTTGCCTAACATTGACTAAAAAAAGACCTGAATTAGAGCAGATTATTATAATCCAAGGGGTTGAAAATTACAAGAGGTTGAAAGAGACTTTAAAGAACAAAATATTTGTGCTCAGATTTTTTGGATTTGTAAGAAGATAATTTTATTTAATTTTATTAAAAACATTTTTTAAAAAACAAAATTTTCATAATAAACTTCATTCTACAGTAGCAAAAAACTATCAAACATAAAAAATAAAATAATTGGAATAAAATTGCATGTTAACAGTGAGAATTTGTTTCCTCAGAATTTTCCATTGATGGAAATGGTGGTTTGTCCTTTCAATGGGTTTCACGAGGTGCAGAAAGCAGAGCTGAAATACCACATGCTGAACTGTCCTGATAAAACCATTTTAGAAAGAGATATTTGTTTTTGTAAGTTCTGACCAAATTTTTCTCAAAAATGTATTTAAAACATTTTATTTTTTGTACATTTTGTGTAAAATTGTGATTGTCACAAAACGGTTGTTACGGAGGAGGGCTCCGGTCCCAACTTATCACAAACTGTGTTGACTTAGCAGTGGTCAGTACAGGACCGCTCCTCTCTGTGATTTATATTGTGGGTATCTGGGCGTTGAGACAGACAAAAGCATAACGAAGACTGGAACAAAATCCAACTCAAACTCCAGGTTCCAATGATAAAATAGACTATATTTATTACTCAAATAAAAAGTTCTTCAATAGTCTTTGCTAACACTGTCAGCTATCTACGACTGTTTCTAAACTGTTAAACTATATTGTCTCCTATGTTCCACCAGTCAACTCGTCTCCTGATCTCTTGCGACTATTACCTAACAACTGCTCAATTCTATCGTAGCTCTTTTCTCTCTCTTCCTCAACTGACTGGCAGCTCTTCTCTATCTTCCTCAACTAACCTTAACTCTGTGAAAGCTCTGTCTTATATGTGATTCTCTACCCCCATAGGTTGTCCAGGAATGCTATCTATAAACACACCCCTGCCCCCTATTTCCGGTCAATTAGAACTTCCCGTTGTTAACCCAAAAGTTATATCATGCCAAGTCATGGAAAGAAACCATCCCCTCTATCTCCAAGATGTGACAATCTATTAACCTTAATTTACCCCCATAACAATGGCGTCCCTAAACTAACAACAGTTTCCGTCCATCCAATAAGTTATCTTAACCACAATGGAGCTCTGTCCTGTACCCCCGCCCCAGTCATTTGTGACAGTGATCAGAAGTAGAATAAATGCCCCATGCCTTCAGTTTTGGTACAGACAGAGCCGGAACTAGAGAAATATAGGTGAAGTACCCACAGAGATGAGCACCAATTATTTAAGGTCACCATTTGTCATACTATCAAGTAACTATTTTAGTTTCATTTATTACAATTCTCAAGCAGTCATTGTTTAACTTTGTATATTTTAATGAGATGGTTGTACCATTCAAATAATGTCTAACACATCACTTTTATTCTTGTACAGCAAATGTGAATGTTACTTTGTAGACTACTCATTATCTATCCTAACCTTAGGAAGATATAGTAAAAGAAATATTAAATACCACATTCTGTTGTTTGCCGTTGATGGTTATGAGGTTTGGGTGGCGGTTAAAACCCATGCCAATGATTTTAGCTACGTGGCTGTGAGAAAGCCACTCCTAGGCAACCGTTTCGTCCCAGCTTTCCGTCCCTACAGAAAGACTCCCTGGGGGGTAAGGGGTTGTAACGCAACAACTTCCCTCCAGAGTGGTAGGAAAACTGCCCAAGCCACTGGAAAGTCGACTGCATACGCTTTAAATGCATTTTTGGTCGACCGGACATCCCCCAGGCCAGGGGGGAGGTTCCCCATGTGCCACGGCATGGCCTGGCAGCGGGGAAACCAGGTATCTGGCCCGTGTGTGGGGTGCCGGGGGGCATTATGAGCTCGTGCTCGACGGACCACCAACGCCATTTCCCAATGAGACGTATGACTTCAAGAGAGAACAGAAATGATAAAGTATCTTAAAAAGAGAGTTGTAAACCTCTTTTAAAAACAATAGTTAAAATATGATTAGACTCGGCTACTGAGAATCAATTAAAAGCAGTTTTGATCCACACCGTTTAAATAATTTGTATGTAAATATGTATCTTCCCCTAGCTATGATGAAGGAGGCATCAAAGAACTCAAATCAAGTCCTGAAGGGTTGTACAGAGCTGCCACCTTCCAGAGATTTCCTGCCTCATGATACTGAGGAAGATTGGGACTCAGGTAAGTTGTGATAATGCAGAGTAAAGGCCGTATGCTGCTAAGTTGAGTTTCTCTCGGGATAGTCTGGGTTAGGGGATGGATAGGAAAATATTTTTAATTTTATAAATTGAATTTGTTGGGGTTTTTTTTTTGGTGAAAAATGTTTTATGCATCAGGCACTGTATTTCATCTTTGCTGAAGGTAAAACCAACACTTTTGGAAAATATTTCAACACTGTGTTGCATATCTGCCACTGGGCTACCACCTACGACACAGTCATCAGTTAGCAAGGAAGTCCCTGAGTATGTCAGTCATGACATTAGATTTTGTTTGAGCGTCTATGAGGTTAAACACAGTTTTGCATCTTTTCTGTATCTGGTGCTGTTGCCAATGTTGCGTTAACTGAAAGCTACAGTCAGTATGTCATAGAACACAAGGCTGAATAGTCTTTATTTGATGAAACCTTGCTAAAGTGGTTTGTGATAGGGAATGGTTGAGATGGCTCTCATCCTGCATTTTGGTTATGGAATTTCTGCACACTGGGTATGAACTTCCTCAGAAAATTGGAAAAGATATATAAAGACCTTCTTTGTTGACATTGTAAGAGGCCTTGGTCAACTATTGACAAATGTCTGTTTTTTTTTGCACAAAATGTGTACAATTTTTAAGATTGAAAAGTCTTTGGTTGATTTTTTATACAGACTTTGGCAGTTTTCATGCCAAGTCAGCTTATTAATGGTGACACCTAGGTACTTATGTCTTTACTTGCTCTTTACTATAATTTTATATTGTAAGATCTGCAGTTGGGTGATTCCCTATGTGCTTGTACAAGAGAGCAGTTGAGGCGCCTTCAGAATCCATGGATATTGTCTCCTTTGCCACATCAGTAGAAACCTCTGAAGGAGACTTTTTTTATGCCCATTCATAGTAGTAGTAGATTTCAACAGAAATATCTGAACCAGTGGTTTTACCACTTGAGGGAAGTTGTATCACTTCTAGTTTCTTTTTCAAGGTTGGGAAATGTTGGGTGGGGTCCTAATCCAGTTCTTTGATTGATAATTCAATTTTAAAAAGGTAGAACTAGAAAATTTTGAAAAGATTATTATCTTTCATTGTATCAAGCTATGTAATAACTTATTTTTTATTTGTATATTGTCACAGAAAGAAATTTTGAAAGTTTTTCAGCATTCTCAACAGAGGGTCTGAGACAGTAAGTGGACACCAATATTTTATTTATTGATTAACCTCTGTTGCTTTTGCCTTTTATTATGCATGGGGAAGCCTACAATATTGAAAATGTTTTTATATGTAATGTAACGGTACATGTTCCATAATTATATTGTTTTCGTTAAGTCCAGTAGATTTTTTTTAATGAAACAATCACATGAGTGTGATTGCCATTCATCAACCAGCTCGTGTTTTGGCACGATTTTTTCATTCATAAGTGCTTAAATCGCAAATATACCAAAAAACAAGGATTCTAGATGTTAAATTGTGTCATTAGTAAGGATAAACAGAAAAATGATCTAAAAGCGACATTCTTACAAATGCAAAAAATCATCTGCTATTTTTAATTTTGTTACCTTTTTTGTTTTACTGTAAAAATCTATGTATTAATGTTATAACTTGAAGAATTCAATTTTGTTTTGTATTTTTTACAAAATTCAAGTAGTAGTCTTCTGAAAAATGCAGTTGATACCTTTTTCTAATACAAAGTAGTTGTAAACTTTTCTGTCTAGTAATTCATTTTGGCCAGTGCTGGGGTAAAGTTTAAATGTAAATGGGATCCTTGTCTACTAGATGTGCTATGCTGATATAGTGTTGAGAAATTGTTGTTCTAATGAATATTTTAATATGGCCGCCCAAGCTAGAAAATATATTTTCCAAAATATAAATTCCAAAATGTATTAAAGTACAATTTTATATATTTTTTAACATGCCCAGTTTATTTATGTATTTGTTTACAGTTACCGTCAACAGGAAAGAAGAGACCTAGTGCCATCTCGTCCACCAATGAGCTCTGGAGCAACAGCTTGTATTTCATCTCAAATCTGCAAAAGTAGAATGGAACAAGACATTGCATTGCATAATCCTTCAATACAGTTGGTTGGCGTGGGGAGGGCAAGAACATGTGAGTAATTGCTATAAAATATTTGGTTTTTTTTTGGAGACTAAATCTCCAGCTAAAATGTCAGAATTCTTATTGTCTTAACTCGAAATTTTTAATAATCTGAAAAGAAGTATAAGAATAAACATTATTTTTTCAGTAACTGCATGTGCCAGGGAAGTTGCCAGTATTGAGCCAAAGATGGCTGATTTAATGTCAGCAACCTCTTCAACTTCAAAGTTTCCCCATTATCGAGTTGTGGGAAAAGGGAGGTGAGCTAAAATTTAATTAGGATTATAATTTATTATAAATCAGTACTTTCCATGATGCATTCAATTTGCTTGCACTTACCAGTTGAATTTAATTTCAAGTAAATCCTATTCTTTTATGGGAACCCTAGATTGTACCCTGGTTTACATATTTGAATTAAACTTTGCATTTTCTGACTTTTTCAACACTTGTATTTTTTGAAAGCCTTTGTATTTTTTGAAAGCCTAACTTGTTTACAGAGCAAGTTAGAGCTGATTCATGCAGCGTAAATATTGCCCCTTGACTTTAAACTCAGAGCTTTCCTTTTTACATGTTTAATGTTATTGAAAGCTAAATATCTATGTTTCTGTATTAACCGTAGTTATAATCATTTATTTTTGCTCCGGCGGTACTGCAGATGCATAAAACAAGTGAAAATGAACTTTCATTTTCTTCTGCAGTCCAGTCCACCATAAAATGTGGAGATTTGTAGAGATTTTTTAAAGAAATTTTTTTATAACTTACTGATAATATAAATAAAAATGACAAGGGGAAATGAATTAACTTTGGTTAGATTGATTAATTTTCTTTTCTATTGCAGAGGATTAGCAGGGCTAAAGATTTCAGACTAGGAAACCATTTCAACACTGTTGACAGCAATCTTAAGCTCTATAATTCATCCCTAAATGACATCCAGATAGTCAAATCAAGCCTTTAAAAACGTATTTTAATTTTATTTTGAATTGTTTTATGATTTTATATTTATTTGTTTATGTAAACCAAGAGAAAGTTTTTTAATCTTGACTTGATTGTTTTTAATTTTTTTTTCCTTCTGCAACAATAATCATTGTCCTGAAGCTTATAATTTTTTTTTTTAAATCGACTGTAATTTTAGCTTGTTTTGATATCCTAGTTGCCTTGCCTTAATTGAGTGTAATCTCTTATCCTGGTGATACTCCTCTTGACCAAGGAAAGAAATTTAAAAAAAAATGACTATTTAAAAGAGGAGCTTGAGAAAGGTGACATTAAAGGTCGACCCTTGGGTGGCACAAACTCTAGTCATTGCTCTCTTTCATCAAAGCCCTCAAGTGTAAGTGCTTGAAGTTACAATTGCAATCATTGCATTAAATATAAAAATTCTTAAGTTAAAATTAGAAATTATGATAAAATTAAGCTTAAAAGCCAATTTTAATGTTTTCTCTTTTTTTAAAACTTTTTTACCCACAAGTCAGCATATTTTTACAAAGTATATATGGGTTGCTTCCATAAAATATTTTGACCTGTTGTCTATTATAGACATTTTGTTTTAATATTTCTAAATTTTGTTTTAATATTTCTAAATTGTTAGCATTTTATTGAATTAAAAACTATGGTTAAGGTTTGTTGAGGTTGGTGTCTTGCTACTAGTTGCTTCATTTCTCACTGCCTAGTCCAAAGAAAGAAGTCCAAAAGAAACCTATTATGCTTGTTGAGCAAAAGTTGGATACTACCACCTGTAGACGTCATTTAAAACTTTGAGTTAATTAATATTGGCATTCATTACCAGTCACGAAATCTAGCTTCAAATCCTTCAGGCAATATTTCCAAGCAAATGTTTTCATCATAAATTGGCCTATGTCAGCATCAATAGCAAATATCTACATGAGACTCTGCAGGAGTTTGGAATACCCAACTAACTGACAAGACTGATTAAGTATAACATAAACAACCCAAAAAGCAAAATCAAGGTTCAGGGTGAAAATTCAAGGGAATTTCAGATTAGATAGAGGTCTAAGACAATGATTCACTGTCTTGTACGCTATGTAACCTAACATTGGAGAGAGTATAAGAATCATAAGAAGCATATATTATCATTATTAGTGGTTTGATATAGGATGGTATAGCCTATATAACAAAACCTGAGGAACAGTAACAGGATACCTTCATAGTAATCTAAAGGAAACCCAAGACCCTCAACAAATAGACACTCTCTACAACCAGCCCCTTCAGTATCTTTCATATGCTGATGACATAGCACTGTAACAGAAAAGTAGTAAAGATTTATCAGAAGCTTTTTTTGAAGTAGAAGATGCCTCAGTTCAAGCAGAACTCAAAGTTAAAAAACATAATACATGATTATGTTAAGATAAGAACAGACAGATAAAACCATTAAGATTAGAAACAACACTTTGGAAAAAAATAAATCAATTCAAAAAGCTAAGATCTTTATGAAATGAATTAATAACAGAAATAAAAGAAAGAATATTGGCTGGAAACAGGGCATATTTCAGTAGTCAGAAAGTACTAAAAAGTTTTTAAAAATTACAAGAAAATCAAAGAAAACTATATATAAGACTGTAATAAGACCAGTTGTAACATAATTAAGTGCAATTTGGACCCTAACAAAAACTGCAGATTAAATACGTGGGAGAGAAACTTTCTTAAAAAACAAAACTTGTATAGATCTTTGATTCTCTTTTAAATAGATATATGAATGATTTTTATGAGTAAATTAGATAATTTTTGGTCAGTTTTTAAAAATAGGTAATTTTTGTAATTTTTTTGCCCTCCCCCCCAACCCGGTAAAATTTGAAAATTTTTATAAAATGACAACTTTAGGACAAAAATTACAAAAGTTTGATTTCCCATACCAGTACTCTTGAAAAAAATTGTGTTTGTTTTCTGTATAGCATTGTGTAAATATTGTAAATGAAATGAGTGCAGGTGACATACATTTTAAGATGACTCATGAATATGGGTCTTTGTCATTTCATAAAAGGTAAACAGAGAAAAAAATAATTAAAATAGCATAACTTTCTTAATAATGGTCATAAAGTCATAAATTTAATGTCCACATTCTTAGATTTCTTAGATCTTGCATCTTAAACACTCAAAAATGTTGTTGGTTTAGTTTGAAAAATTGGATTGGAGTACCTAATATGAATGGAGAATATGAACCAACCAGGAATTGTATAGTCTATATCAGAATCCCACACTATAAATAAAATGGAAAAAGGGTAGGCATTGCCAAGCTGGACATTTAGAAAGAATGACAGAGGAGTAAAGAGGGTGCACCATCAAAACCCCAAAACAATAGCTCAAAGGCAGATAGATGGCTGATGGGGAGAGGGCTCTACAGCACCTGGGAATCCAATCATGGAAAAGAAAAGCATCAGTTAGGAGTGGAAGGATGTGTTAAGGCAAGCCAAAGCCCTACATTTGCTGTAGCTTCACAGGGATGGATGGAAATGTTTTTTGACATCTTAACTGAATGGCTCCTATCAACTAAAAACACTTCAAAATGAGTGTGTATATTTTACTAATATTATAATTTAGTACATATATATTAATAATATAAACATATAAATAACTTTAAAAACTAAACAATGGAATTCTCTTCCATTACATATCCGCAATATACAGAACATCACAGCCTTCAACACATCTCTTTAAACTCTACTATCCTGACTGAGTCCCCCCTCTGACCGATAAACAATGCTGAAGGGTGCCATCCATGGCTTGACATGTAAATAGTTCTGGAATGGGTGAAGTTAATATACATTTGTTTTATTTATTTCATATATGTTATTTTTAAGTTCATGATTATGTTTGTTAAATTGTATGTACCGGTACAGCATGGTGAACCCAGCCCTAGGCTGGGGTACCACGCTATATAAAACCACTAATAATAATAAACAGCCTGGTATAATGAAACTTACTTGAGTACAGGTCCCATCCCATGGGATGAGACCACAAAAGGAGTTGCTGAAACAATACGTATTAACATTTATTTTAAAAGCAGTTTTTTTGTTGTTTTTTTTTAAATTGCTGTCTTGAAGTTTAAGTACTTAAGTTACATCACAACTTCAATAGTGGCATTATCGTAAATTAAGATTAATTATATTATACTTTAAAAAATCCTTTTTTTTTTAAAGTGTTTTTTTTTTTTAATCTATTACGAAATACGATTATTGGGGTTGTGGGTCTTCTTTTGCTATAAAAGGGGGTTGCGACTTTTAAAAAGTTGGAGAACCTGTGTGCTAGAGCTACCGATTATGACTTCTCAAGACTTTTTACAAGATTTTACAGGTCCTGGCATAAAGAAAAAAGTTGTTACTTGATACGTTAAAAAAACACAGGTAAGGAAGAATTTCCTTTGAAATTTTGATTGTTGGTGTTTATTTCGGATGAAGTTTTTTTTGTAAATAATATTTTTGGCATCTAAATACAGTGTTACTTGGATGTTGGTACATATTACAACCAATGATGCCAGACATGGGGAATTCCCGTTAGGAGAAACCTTGGGGAAATTACTATGTTGGGATTTTTATTCGTATTTATGATAATTTATCCTTTGATTCATAGAATCGTAGTGGTTGTAATTAATGTACCGAGCAATGCACGGTCGTATGAATAGGGCGGCGTCACTTACTTCTGTGCAGCAATTTTTATCCACTTTATGGATAGCTTATTTTTTATTTGCATTGTGGTTTTCCTTTAACAAATAGTGCAACAAAATACGTTTAGGCTTTAAACAATTTTTTTTTATATAAATGAAGGACAGTTAAACGGACGTTTCGGCTGAATGCGTTATTCAGCAGACAATACAAAACAAGAAAAACAAATCATTTGAAATTGAAAAACTGAAGTTGGTTTCTATACAGAGGCTGAGAAAGCTACGCTGTGATTTGGTAATAACACTAATTATTTTCGATTTCAATTTTGCCAGGCAATGTGAATACCGATGTGATGCAATGTACCATCTTTTTTGTGATGCGCAATTAGACCTATAAAACCCCTTCCGGTTGCATTTAGACTACGCATTTTCAATTTGGGGCCCATTCACACAGAAGAGCATCGACAGGTTGGAGACGGTCCAGCGATGGGCAGCACGCTTTGTTCTGAACCGCCACAGGAACACCTCTAGTATTGGCAGCATGCTAGAAACACTGGGCTGGTCACCATTGGAGGAAAAACGACGATTATCCAGCCTGTCCATGGTGTACAAGATAAATAATGGGCTGGTCCACTTCTCCAGCAATGAACAGAAACTCGTCTCTCTCCCCATTAGAAATCGAGAGGCCATGATTGGCAGTTCCCTCTCCCTACTAGAAAGCGACTAAGCCATGGCAGGCAGCTCCGGCTCTTAAAAGCAAGAACACTGTACAGGAACAGACTGTTCATTTATGCCAAATACCATCAAGGACTGGAACAAGCTACCAAAAGGAACAGTTGAGGCGACAACACTTGACACGTCTATTGACTCAGGCCTTCCAACCACCAGTTCATGATACCTTCGCCGAGTAACCCTTGCAACTAGTGAAATATCCTCTTCAATACCAGGCACAGAAACATTGGAAATCCCTCTACATAGGAGCCAGAATGATCAATACATTTATCGTGGGGCCTGTTCCCGGTCTCCGGTTGGCAAGTCTGTGGTGGCTTGTCGATTAGGAGGCGTCGGCCACCGACCCCCTCGACGTTAACCGGGAAAAACACAACCACTGGGCGCGTCTTGCGTGGGCAGACAAGAGATGTGCTCGGTACCTGCCGTACATAAAACAGCTCCTACAGGGCTGCCAGTTGTGATATTTTCCAACTGGAACAATAGGCAGTGACAGGGTAGGGATCATGATCATAAGTTGCCGTTAATGGATATGAGGCGAGAGGCGAAGGTGGTAACCCCTGGCCGATGATTCTTACTACGCAGCCCTGAGAAGCTGCTCCAAGGCAACCGTTTCGTCCCAGCTGCATCGCGAATGAGTTGCGTTGTGGAAACCCCCTGTAGAATCCCTCTTATAGGGCGTCTAACGCTTCCCCGGGATGGGTGGGGGAAGGTATTAGGACGTAAAATTTTCCATCCCAACTCCTGAGAAAGCCGATCGTGTGCACTGTGCGAAATAACACAGTGTCGGACCGACCGGGTGTCTTTGGGTTAGGACGGCCCCCGGCGGAGATCTGGTCGAGCAGACTCATGTGGGGGCCGTCCTGACAAAGGGACATCGCCGACGTGCCGCTCCGCGGCCCGATACCGGGTTGGGGAGGGGTGTTTTGGGGAGGGCATAAAGAGCGCAAGCTCGACGGCCCCCCGCTGATGCCATTTCTTAATGTAATATATCGTAGGGCCTTAATATATAGAAGAAGAAGACATGTAGCTTTAAGATCTTTCACGGCTAACAGAAGAAGTCACTAATCCTACTGTAGTAATTGGATGTTTTGCGTCATAAGCGAGGCCCTGGGAAACTGCCCAGTGTGTACATGCATAAAGACGGCACCCCCCCCCCCCACCCCGCCACTTTTTCGGGTTTGATCCAATGCTCCCTCTAAGCTGCGCGGTTGCGTGGCCGCGCAGCTATCTCACAGACGCTGCGCAGCAGTTTTGAGTATGTTGGGTTGTAAAAAATTTTCAAAAAAAAAAAAAAAAAAAAAAAAAAAAAAATGATGCTGTAAAACTTTGCACACAACTGTATGATTTTGCACACGAACCAACAAGCCTTAGAGGGAACATTGGTTTGGTCCCCTTTATTCTAAGTTTATCGTTTATTTTGTTTTCAATGTTACTGAAAAGTAAAAAAAAAATTATTAAAAGTTAAATATTCTAAATTATTGAATGGTTCATTCAAAGCGAAACACGCCACCCTTTGTGGTTTGCGAAAGATTCAATCAAATTTAGTGTAGTCAAGGGGAAAAAACAGTACCTGGTACGATGTTTTGATACGTTCTAGCACTGGGCTGTAGTGAGCCCTGCTTTTTTTTTTTTTTTTTTTTTTTTTTTTAAAAAAAAGAAAAAAAAAAAACAAATTTTTTTTTTTTTTTTTTTTTATTACAAAACTAGCATCCGTTTGAGCCTAATTTAGGAAGTAATTCAAGCTCCTTCTAGTCCATCATGTGCTGCCTATGGTCCCTTGACTTCTAATTATCCTCTAGGGTTCGCTAACTCAACTACTGAAGCCTTTAGACGTTAGTCTAATTATTACCCATCAACAAATTTGCAAGAGAAACATTATACTGCATCCTGCTGCCCGGAATACACAGGCCAGCATCTGAGCCGGACACGATTGTTTTAATTTTATTAAACCTACGAAAAATTCAGCTCAATGGGCGCGGCTTAGCTAGACACTGTGCCTATCGGGACGTTCTTTAGCGTTCTGACTTTAAGTTGCCGTCTACCCCCCCCCCCCCCCCTNCCCCCCCCCCCGCCTCTGAAAAAACTAAACTGCTTTCAATACTTTCAAGCCGTGTAAAGTTAATAAATAGTGGGATAAGATCAGGGCCGCCCGACGGTTGCTGGCGCCCTGTGCAAGCTTAACTTTGGTCCCCCTTATAATAAGTTTAATCATTAAAGAAAAAAAAAAAAACTAGTTATTTGGTAATGAGTTTATTACCTATGTTTTTGTTTATTGTTTGTTTAAAAAAAACATAGGTAAGAAACTCATTACCGAATAAATATTTTTTTTTCCTAAATGATTATAGGCCTACTTATAAGGGGCGCCAAAGTTGAGCCTTTGGCAAACTTTCACCCTGTGGGAAGCACCCGTTCGGCGCCCTCTTCCCTGTCCCTGTATACAAATTAAGAGTGCAACTTTCATTGTTTGAAAACTAATTGCATGAAAAGCGATTGTATGTAAGAAGAACTAGAATACCGTCTCTTGACCCCCAGACCCGAGGTTCACACTTCACTGTAATAAACTAAGGGCATTTAATGGGTGCCCCAGGCATTCCTATGGCCAAGGCGCCCTGTGCGAGGGCACAGGTCGCACACCCTAAAGGCCAGCCCTGACAAGATATGTCCTTGAAAGGACAGGACAATTTTTTCTATTCAAGCCTAAACATATCTTGTTCCACTATTTATTACATAAATTAATTATATTTTTAAAATGTGGGAAAATCTTGGGAAATTGGTTGAATAAACCTGGGGATATTTGATGATCAAAGTGGCAGCACTTATCACAACTCTTTGGTAAAGGAACTTTGTCAACAGCTGGATTGGAGAAAATGGCTGACGCAGACACAATACGGAGACTTTGGAGATATAAATCTGATTTAGAGGAAGGACCTGACGAAGAAAAGGTTTTTAATTGGTCTTGAAACACCCTATATACCAGTCTGACGCATTTTGCTCTATTAATTTTTAAGGCATACCAGCTTCACTTCTGTTTCTATTAAACTTAAACTATTATTAACCTTATGCCTATGCCTTATTTAAGTATAATATAGTTTTATATTTTATATAAATTCATAAAAATAGTTTATTATAATTATATCAATCATGAAAAGTCAAGGGTCAGTAACCTAATGACTACTAATGATTAACAAAAATTATGAGAATCCCAAGAGTGTTTGCAGTTGCACTAAATCTATTCATTTGTAACAATTTGTTTATCTGAATCTGAAATTTTTTAAATGGTAAATTTTGAGTTAACGGTATGGGTTTTCCTAAGAGTTTTCTCACCCTAAGCGCAGTGATGTCACATTGGGGAATCCCAACACTGGACTTGGGGTGAATAGATCTGTTCTTTGAAGGACCCGAACGATGTGTGTTATAACATTCCTGTTCTTTAATGAGCATTAATCGCGTCACAAACGATACGGTTAATATGAAATATTTTGAAACGAAATTTTCCATTAATTTGTATTAAAATTCAACTTGCACGTTTGAAAAGAAAAGAAAAAAGAAACACATCCTTGCTGACGCTGATAACCCAAGAAACGACACCGGTGAAAAAAAAAAGACGCCCGCCAAAATTACTGTAACAAATAGTTGAAATCAAAATAGCTGTATGTTGAAACTTAGATAACAAAAGGAAGACTATACTTCTGCTTAAATTGCATTTGGAATGATCTTCTAGGAACTGGGGAGGGTAGATCCCTCTCCAAACCCCTCCCCTCACTTTAAATGCCAAAATAAGAAACATAGAAATTCCCTGGGGAGCGTTGACCCCAGTAGCCCTCCCCAATTAAACAAAAAATTTAAAATAAGAAAACAATAACTTGCATTATGAAAAAAAAACATCAAAATCTTTTTAGTATGGCACTGTAGACGGAAATGAACCTGGGGGAACGTCCGTGACCTATATACCGTGGAACACATCGCCGGCCTTACCGCTAACTCAAAACCCATACCCTTAACTCAAAATTTATCAGGTATTTAATATTGAGTTTAATATGTATTGAACATTGTGCAAGTGCAACTTCTGTTTGTATAGTGTATAGTTTGAAAACTGTTGTAACACATATCACCACAGTTGATGTACTCTCACGCAGTTACTTTAATTACTAGATATTACCCTATACACTTTCGCATTAGTCCATCACTGTAAATTACCCATGTCATCACCAATTTAATGCTACTAACTATACTAGACCTAGTAACTAGTCATTGGACCTAGCCCTAATACTAATAGAGTAATAATTAATATACCTAGGCCCACATCTAGCCTAACTAAACCCACTAAAAGAGTAGAAAAGGAAATCCCAGTCCTGTTCATTGTTCAGTGACAGTACAACAAATTGAAACTACAACAAAGTTCATGTTCATTTAGCTGCACTAGTACTCATACATTCATGAGTTTATTTTGTGGAACAAATTCAAGAATGATGATATGTTCTGATGTTTCTTGGCTACAGTTGAGGAAAATTATACGCGATGACTTGTATTATTTTTAAATAAAGTGCTTAATTGTCATTAATCATATGTTGTGAATTTGGCACCTAAACTGGACAATTACCTAATTCTGGATTTTATAATGCATTCTCATGGACATATCACTAATAATCATAATGAGATAATGTCAGTATCAATACTGTCAGCCTTAGAATTCTTTTTTAAAGATTATAGGCCAAGGTCTAAACATTTGTAACTTGACCCAACCGACAGATTAGTGACTGTTTTTTATTGCCTTCTTGTTATATGTTAAAATACTCAATATTTTAGAATTTAAGGAAGTTTCTTAGAAAATTAAAACTTTCCTAATCTTTTTGATTTTATTTCAGTTGTTGGAAATTCTTGGCAAATTGAAAAGACTTCGTGTATCAATAGCATCACTGCAGGTAAATTCATTTATCCCAACTATTCCCCAGCACAGAAACCACTTCAACTCATATGCATACAAAGCTTTATTGTACACTTAGCACCAAAATTATTGTATTTTTTTTACTGTTTGTCATGTGTCCAGTATAACTTAACCAATGCTTGCTTAGCTAAAAAAACATCCTTTTCTTTTTGAAAAAATCATTATTACCATATTTTAAAGCAACTTAAAAAAAAGCTTTTTCTCTTTTTTAGGAAACTGGTGTGGGGAAAATGGTTAACAGTTATCGCAAACATCCAGGAGTTGTAGGGCAAAAGGCTTTAGAAGTTGTGGATTTTTGGAAATCTTTGGTTGAAAATGAAGTTGAAACATTAGAGAAATCAAAGAAAAGGTATGTATAAGAAACAATTTATAATTATAAACAAAGAATAAACTGATAAAATGGTTTGCAATACCTCTGTGTTTTATTGTGGGACCCGGCTTGAGCAATACTGGATAAAACTTTCATTACAGCTTGCTTCAGAAGATTATTATCTCCAAAGATTTATGAATGGAAAATATAGTCAGCAACCAGCAGTTTTAACCATGTCAAAACTACACAATGGGGCCATCAACTCTCCTCTATTTTGTTAAAGAAATTTATTCCGGTGGTTTTTAGGATTTAACTGCATCATTTTTTTGTGATAATACGTGCCATTTTGGTGTAAGCATCTCCCTTTTTTTGGGATTCATTTTAAAAACATTAGATTGATATATAACAATTTTACTATTTAGTAACTACTAAAATAAAATGTATATATACATAAAAACACAGCTAGGTAAGGGGAACCAAATTGTCCACAAGCATTACGATTAAGTGTAGAATGATGCAAATTATATCCAGATATATGCAAAAGTGCATCCCTGCATTTTGAATTTATACAAAGATTCAGGGCTGGGAAAGGGGGGGGGGGCGGAGGCTCAGCCTCCTTCCCAAACCCCACCCCCACTTTTTCTCTGGTGACTTCGGTGGTCGTCCTCAATTTCCACTCCACCACCACATCTTTGTCTTTCAAAGTGGCGAATGACAGGCACATTTTTTTTGCATTAATTTCACTGTTTATGAATATATAAACGTCATTCATCTACTTTGAGGAGTGGCCTTTATTAGACATGCGATGGGAATATTTATTGTATACATTATGCTGTATACTTATTTATTTACTATTACAATACGGTACCGTACCATTTTGTGATGGGACAAGTACTATAATGAGAGTATATTGTACTATTTTGGGAGTTCCAGTGTAATCAGGTATGTACATTTCAACTCTGCCAATTGTAGTAAACTTGTTTGCTGTATTACTTACATGAAGGCTTTACACATATGGCCCGAAAGCTTTCTTTTTTAATAATGATAATTAGGCTCATTCGCCCAGGCCTGCCTTTCATTTTTATCATCCTAAAAATAAATCCTTTATCTGTATTGTAAAAGTCTTAAGTTACATTTCAGAAGTCCGCGCAGTGATGAAAGTGAGAATGACCATGGAGCCAGTGATGCAGACAGCTGGAACTCATTTCAAGAGGAGGGTGAAAGCTCTGGTGACGGATCTGATCACGAAGACAGTAAAGGCAGGAGACAGCAGGAAAGAAGGCACAGTTCATCTCATAGTAAGCAAGACTCAAAAAATAAAGTAGAACGTGAAAAATATTCATCTAACAAGCACGAAAAGCACAAGAGCAGCCATCACAGCTCTGATGGTAAGCATCATCAGAAGGAAAAACGTGACGACCGTCATTCATCTAAAAATGGCCACCATCATTCAACTAAAAATGAAGGCCATCATTCATCTAAAAATGAAGGCCACCATTCATCTAAAACTGAAGGCCATCATTCATCTAAAAATAAAGACAGTCATTCATCTAAAACTGAAGGCCGCCATTCATCTAAAAATGAAGACATTCATTCATCTAAAAATGAAGACAGTCATTCATCTCAAACAGTGGATTACATTCCAACTAAAAAGTCCTCCTTGGATCATGGTAGCAGCTCACACAACACATCCCAGGACTCTAGGAAATCAGATAAAAAGCCACAATACATACCTAGTTCAAAAACAAAGTCTACCTCTTTTGATGGAGATACAAAACCAGAGTACATCCCTAGCAAAAAACATAATGGCACAACTGGATCGGGTGGAACCCTGGCAGCAATCCACCGACACAACAGCAACACCTTGGATGATGATGACCTGACTGACAGTGACGCTGATGTAGGGGCAAGTGATGCTGAATCACCAAGTGCAGAGTCCAAGGCCTCCGAAATTGAAGAGTACTACAAAGCTATGCTAGCTCAGCAATCTGACACTGATGACAAGATGCAGGCAGGAATTCACAAAGACAGCAACAGTCTGCAAAAGTATCCTGGTGGCTCCAAGGATAAGTATGGTGGCTCTGTGGATAAATCAGGTAGCCCCAAGGAAGCCTCTAGTGACAAGCAGAGTGGCTCTAGCAACAAATATGACAGCTCTGACAATAAACAAAGGTCAAAGGATAAGAATGGTAGTTCTGATAGACAGACTAAGTCCAAAGACAGGAGTGAAAGGTCCAGGGAAAAATCTAAATCCACTGAGAAGCAAGCCAGCTCTAAAGAAATAAATAAAAGTGATGGCTCCAAAGAGAAGGGTAGACAATCAAGAGCTAGCAGCTCCTCTCACAAGCATCATGGCACGGAGAGCAGGAAGCAGGACAATAGCGGTCACTGTGACCAGTCTAACAGCAAGAAGTTGAATAAACATGACGGGAGTCACAAGGATGAATCCGCAAGGTCCTCCCATCACAGATCCAAAAGTAAGGAGAGTAAAAAAAGTGATGACAAAAGAGGACAGACCGAGCAGTTGGATGAGAGGGGAGATGGTGCCCTTGTCTGTAAAGTGCTCGACAGAAAACGCAAACGCCACAGCATGAGTGACAGCGAGAGTGATACCGATGGTCCGTCCAACCGTAAAGTGTACAGCGTCAGTTCATCAACGTTGTCCCAGACGCATGGTCCTGCATCACCCAGCCCACTTCCTTCCTTGCCACTGAAATCACACAGCTCATCACGCAGAGGGTCTTCATCAAGATCTGAAGGCCATTCAAGCAAATCTCCACACAAGTCCAAATGCTCATCATCAGAGAGGTTATCAACAAAGAAAAGTCAGGGGGATTCTTTCAGCCAGTCTCTTGTTGTTTCTGATGGTGAGGGGCCGTCTTATAACCCAACCCCGAAAACGTCCAGTCACAGCATACCTTATGTTCCATCCAAGAAAATCAAAACAGAAAGCCCGGACTCGGCGTCACACACGGGAGTCTCATTAGAGGGAGATAGCCTGTTTGATGATGAGCTGTACTCACCGACATGCCCGTCTTTATCTGTGGGCAAAGCTCTGCCGTCCAAAAATAGCAAAATGGATGATGTAAAATACTCTCCAACACCTGTGTCCAAAAAATCCAGAAACAGTCCTGAAAAATATGCATCTTCACCTTTGCATAAAACAGGGTCCAAGGCTAGGAGATACTCTCCGACCACAGTTTCTAGTAATCCTAAAGTAAAAGAGGAAAGATATTCTCCTACCCCTGTATCAAACAGGACAGATGTAAAAGAAGAGAGGTACTCTCCAACTCCAGTCTCCAGTAATGCTAAAGTGAAAGACGAAAGATATTCTCCTACCCCTGTATCAAAGAGAACAACTGTGAAAGAGGAGAGATACTCTCCGACCCCAGTATTGAGTAGTGCTCCAGTGAAAGAGGAAAGGTACTCCCCCACACCTGTTTCTAGAATAATAAAAGAAGAAAGATATTCCCCAAAACCCGTCACAAATCATGTCAATGTCAAAGAGGAACGCTACTCTCCAATCCCAATATCCAGCAAAATAAAAGTGAAAGAAGAGCGTTACTCTCCAACCCCGCTGAAGTCAAGAGGTCAACCCAAAACATCGCTGTTATCCGACAGTGATGAAGAGCATTCAGACCACAGTATGGCAAGTGGTGAAGACTATTCCCCTGCCTCTAGATCTTCTAAAAAAAACGCCAAGACAGAGAGACCTCCACGTGCGCCTTCACCATCTTTCAATAAACACTCCCTTGGCAGTGATGCAAGAACCTCGTCCAAAGACAGAGCCAAAGAGGACTCGTCAGGACACAGACATAGCGGCTCACAAAAGTCGAGCTCATCAAGAACACACGATAACTCACCAGAGCACAGTAAGTCATCCCATCGAAACTCACACTCTTCATCTTTCAGGGATAAAGGAAAAGGCTCTTCTAAGGAAGACAAGGTCCAAGAAAAGGGAAGCTCCCACTCAAGGGAAAAAGCCAGTTCCTTGAAAGACAAGCACTCATCTTCATCCCATTCATCTGGGAAAGCATCATCTGGTCATGATAAGAAAAACACTGGAGGAGACAGCTCTACGCATGTCAAAAACCACGACACCAGCTCATCATCAAAAAACAACAGCTCTCACTCCCCATCTTCGTCGGCTGGAAAAAGAGAAATTAAAGAATCCCAAACAACCCACCCAAAAACATCTGATTCCTCCACACGCAGTTCCTCCACATCAAAGCATAAAAAGGTTAAGCCAAAATCTACCTACACTGAACCGGACCTGGATCTGTTTTCTGACGCAATTCAAATTAAGAAAGAATCTGCACACCCTGCGGTTAAGTTCAGGCCTGACGAGAGCCACAAGAGAACAGCCTCCAAACCCTCTTCACCATCACGTTCATCCCCTGCCCCCATCTCTGAAACTTTGAAACCCAGCAGCAAGTTGGATTCTGGTTCTACGAGACGCAAGCCTGTGATAGAGTCAGACAGTGAGAATGAGTCTAATGGGTCCAACGACATGTTAGATGATGAGCTCAAAGACACTGACAAGTTGAAAAACGTGAAGCCTAAGAAAGTGGAGAAGCCAACTATTGATGACAGTGCTATGTCTTTCGATGACTTCCTGAACTTTAATGAAGCAGCTGTTGTTAAAAAACTCAAGACGACGTCAAAGTCCTCCGGTAGTAAAGCCTCACCGACGCCAAAGTCCTCCGGTAGTAAAGCCTCACCGTCTGCCAGCCATTCATCAAAAAGCAGGGACAAGCCTACACCATCTCCAACCACACAGAAGCAGGCCAAGTCTGAAACTCCACATGTAAAGCTTGGGTCTTACACGTCTGCTCTGTCTGTGCCAACGCCTTCAAAAAATGTAAGATCTTTTTTAGAATCAAATTATTTAGAGTTTCTTGACAATTTTTTTGCATTTGTAATGATATATTAAAAAAAAAAGAATTATTTATTCATATTCCTCTATATATCTGTAGACATTTTGGCAGTGATAAGTTAAGTGGGGAGTCCAAGTTGTAAACAAACTATTAAATGTTTAGTACATTCTTATATGTGTTGTTTTTATGATTATTCCAATACTGGCCTCCATTTCCTACTTTGCCTTGGGATATCTTGGATTTTATTATTTATCATGATCTTTTTCTCTTTTATCCCTTACAGTGGACTTAAAGATTGATAGGGATTTTGGACAATGGGACAAAACTGGGCATCTGGGGGAGTGGGGGGCACATGATTAATTCCTCTCTACAGATTCATAAGTGTTCTAAAAAAATGACAAGAACTGGCAGCTCATTTAAATTCCATTTTAAGAAAGGCAGCAATATCATCATGTTTTAAAATAACATTACTGACGACTGGTCATTGAACAGTTACCTGTTGCCTTGGCCGACTTATTTGATGTGCTGTATGATCTCTGGCAGATCATGTGATCTTCTGAAACAGTCAACGCTATGGACCAGTGAGCTGTATAATTGAATTTCTCTGTATAATTCTCTGACATGTTTTTCTTCTTCTATTTTGTCCTGTCAGCTGGTAGTCACAGAGAAGGATATTCTAAGCCTGTTGCCAGAAACACATGCCCAGTACAAGCCACTCAGATATAACCCCTACTACATGGATGATGTTGATGGTGTGTATATCTTTAAAATTTAAAGTTCATCAAACTTTCCAAATCCAATATTACTGACTTACTATGAAAGCTGTTTGGTGTGGCTCTCCAGGGAAATAATAACCATCCACTTTAGAAAAGAAAAAGAAATCCCAACAAAATTGATTGGCAGTTATCTTGCCTGTTTTTTGTTGGAAAGCTTAGCATACTTTAATGTTTTACTTGCATTCCAGAACCTGAGCCACAACCTCTACCCTCACTGATAGATCCAGATTCCATAGGTGTCAAGTCAGCTATCAGGACTCAGGTGTATTCTGGGAGGAAACATGGTGTAACAGGTTAGTTGGGGATTTTTGTGAGATTGCAATGTGGTTTTTCCTAATATTTTCATGCTGCTGTGTGAGATGACCTTCAACCAATTTTGTATTTTTGAAAAATAATTATCCTTAAATGTTAAATTTCATTAACTGAACACTTTCCTCTGATGTCCCCAATTTTTTTTTTATAGTAAAAAGTTCATTTTACAAGCAGTTGTGTTCGTCAATAGTTAACAAATTAAACAAATAATAATCTGTTTTCCAAAGATTGATTTTATCAGAACAATATTTGTATATGGTTGTGGTAATATTGATCTAAGAAATACATTTTTATTTTACCAAACAATACGCTTGAGCTTTGAAAATTCCATTCTTTTCAGAAATCAAGCCACTCTTTGACCTCTGTATGCAAGTACTTATTGAAAACATTGACTGTAAGTGTAACTGTCAACATTGTTTTATAATTTAGAAAAATAAATTAAGTTTGACGTTTTTCTTTTTATGATCCAGATGCTATAGTCTCTTCTCCTCTGTTGCCTTTAAATCTGATGGCTACATGTGTATTTCGAAGTACATTAATTATATAGAGGGAGCTCAAGATATATGTGCTGTGATTAATCTCAAGTCCCATGAATTAAACCTGAACTTCCCTTTGTAATTTTAATTCTAATTAAGCCACACACGCCTCTGCTTGTGAATCACCATGAAACTCAGAATCAGTGTTCTGACATCTGTCCTGCAGACCCATCTTAATAACTTTTAAATAACTTGAGTGGTGGAAGCAGTAAGGAAAGGATAACACAGATCTTGGTAAAGCTTCCCCAAACATTTCTCCACATCTTTGCATCCACAGTCATTGACAGTGTTGGTGGTATTCCTTACAGCATCTTGAAGCCTGTGCTTGAGCGGTGCACAGCCCAGCAACTCTACCAGCTTGAGGACTATAATCCAGTGAGTGGTCTTCTCATTATATTTTGCGTCCAGAGATCTCTCCTCCGTTCTTGCATTATAAAACTTTTTATTTGTTTTGTAAGATTTTCATTTTAACCTCTTTCTTTCCTCATTTTGAACTCCTCAATGATAATTAGTTAATAAAATTATTTTTTCCTCTCCCCCAATCATACCCTGGACTATGGTAAATTACAGTAATGTTATTTTAAATTATTTCTGTTTTGCATTTTTTTCCTTTTAGAAAGAACATTCTTTTTCAAAATATTGTGCATATGGATCTATTTTTTGTTGTAAACTTAAGGCTGCACATATTTGCATATGTATACATTTTTAAAAATTGAAGTTTCAAGAATTTAGTGGTAATGTATTTTAATTTATTTCTAAATATTCTAAAGAACTTACTATTAATGGCCTTTAATTGTAAGAATAAAAAGTCAAAGATTCTGAGTAACGTTTCACTTTTGTCAGTTATTATTTTCTAAAGTTAATATTAAGTGTATGGAAGGTTTCATGGCACAAAAAAAAAATATGTTCATTTCTGATTATTGTGATTGTCACTGAAAAACCCCAACAAACCCACGTGCTTCAATCTGCTGCTACACTACAGATATTTAGCTTTTATTTATGGCTTCAAGTTGCTTGCACTGTGTCATTTTAGCACTTTCTAGAGGACACTGATGAATTGTGGGAAAGTCTGTGTAAGAGAGACTTCAGGGGCAGTAAGCGTGAGGAGCTGGAATCTTGGAGGGAGCTATACATGGTGAGTTGTGCAGCGTGCCTCTGTGAACAGTTCATTCGGGGGGGGGGGGGGGGGGAGTTAACAAACTCCAATGACCAGGGTTCTCAAATTCAAATTATTTCAAATGACTACATTTGCCGAGGTGTTAAATGCCCCCACAATGATGTGTTTTAAATACTTGGGAAACCATAACCTATAATTCATGTTCATTTGTTAATGTTTGTTAACACTGATCTTTTTGCCCCCTGTACATCCATTACTTTGTTTGTTCTGCAGAGGAGGTTTGAGGAACGGGAACTTAAGTACCAGAAGCTGAAAGAAAACATGTCAACATCAATTGTGAAAGGCCAGGCAGGTGGGCAAAAATTTATTTATTTTGTAGGTGGGTAGGGAATATTGATACTTCATTTGTCCAATGGCAAAAATCTACTTTAATTTTCAGCAACATCTTAGAGGGGTATGGAATGTTTCTTTGAATTTTTAACCAGCTCCATGTCCCCTCGCCCCAAAGAAGATGGTGCAGAGTGAAAAGGAACTTGCTTTCATATTTATGTTATCTCCAGGTAGGAAGGCTCAACTGGCGTATGTTGATACAGTGGCCAAGCCCCCAAGGGAAGTGCTACGTAAGCAGAAGCAGTACGGCACTGGCTCTGTGATGAAAACTAAGGGTAACATGGCAATAAGTGGAGGCAGCTCTGGTGTACGGACGTACAAGCCCAGCTTACTGGTGGCTGCCCACAACCCAATGAACGACGAACAACGAAGTGAGATTGTTAAAAATATTTTTATCATTGTACTATCTTGAAGCTGAAAGGCTTGGACACCTAGACAACAAATTAATGGTTGCACAGTTCATAATTTATGAAAGTAAATATTAAATATCGATCCTCTGAAAAAACTTTAGATTCCATTTAACCTGATGCAAAAGTAATATTATTTTTACTTTTTTTATGAAAGGGATTGATTTTCTCCCTTGTAATTTATTTTTACTTCAGAATGGTGATTAGGTTTAAAAAAATGGTTTGAAATGCTCCGTGTCTTTCAAGTCATTCATTTTCTGCTTGTCTCCACAGTGGTGAGACCCATGCCCCCTATGATGGCCAAATCTTTGCAGATGAGAAAGAACATGAGACGTTAAACAACAGCAAGCTGATGACAGAATTTTTAGTGGAGAATGTTTCATCACAGAGATCAGTGAGCATTGAACAACGATTTTCAGGTTGTTGTTTTTTTTACTGTTCTTTACTGTGATGTCTGAAATGTAAGGTATGACTTCTGGATTACCCTGGTTTTGATTTGAGGACATGCATTTAATTACAAATTGTCTAAACAGCACATTTAGTCTGTTTGTTTGGTTGGGTATTTTGTAGATTAAATTCCTCTGCTTCATTTAATAGTTTCTTTACTAAAAAATTGATAGAGAAAGGAAAAATGTTTTTCCCAACAACAAAACAGGAATAATTGAATGGGGGAGGGGCGGAGGGGAAAGGGGGGGGGGGGACAGAAGATACCATGCAAAAAAAAAACCAAGATAATTCTAACTTTATCCATATAAAAGAGGAATTTGTAGGCTAATGATTTTATGTGCCCTGCCTGCAATTGAAATAGTATTGAAGATTTAGAATTGTGAATCAAACCCATAAATGTAAGAAACACAGAGATGTGTAAAAAAATGTGATTTACAAGTCTTTAATTACTGTAGTTAAATGCAGCTATTTAAATGAATGTAAGATGAAAACAAGATAAAACTGCATGTTCCATCTATGAAAATAAGAATATCTCTCATCTAAATACTCATTTTTTAATCATTATTTTCATCTGTTTTTTTGGTCTCATATCTATTTTTTTTTTAAAAGCCCAGGGCCCAGCTTGATAATTCAATGTAAATATAAACAAATAGCTATGCTGTCACACATTAAAAATATATAAGAAAAGGAATTAGATAAACATCTTCATTAGTTCTTATTTTTCTGCAAAGCTTCATTTTCGCTCATGGTCATTTATAGCCACCGTAACAACTCAAAAATAATTCATTTGTTAAATGATGCGCTACATCTGACCAATCATGACAGCATCATGATCGTGTTTATTGAGAATGTCATGAAACTAGGAGAAAGACTATACCTTGTTTTTTAAAATATGCAATGACCTGCAGAGTTTTAAAATATTTTTTCATGAAACTACTCTTACTTAAGCATATTGCATATAGGGTTGTGAAACTTGATGTTTGAGACAGACTTATCCAAATGATTTCCTGCACTATAAATATTAAATTAAGCCATCTAATTTTCACTGCGTGGGTCTAGTTTCTATAACTTAATATAAATTATGAAGGGTGCAGGGAACCAGATAAATTTTGGAATTAATTCCATAAGTTTTTTTTTTAATAAAGATAAAATTTAACACAATTAAGAGTTTATAAATATCAATAGTTATCCAATCAAGATGTTGCTGCTATAAATACAATCTTGGCATAATGTCCAAAGTGTCTGAGATTTTTAAAAGGGAGGATTGGGTCTTATGCAAACAAAATTGCAATAGATTTTATTTAGAAATTTCTGCATGCTTTTCTGTTGATGGTTTCTTCAAACGTTTTCCCCTACAGGTATTATATGGTATCGAACCGTGCCACTTTTTCATGATTTAAAATTAATGTCACTTTTTAAAAATTAAAAAAGATGTAGTTTGTGATAGTTCATTTATGAAGAAATCATAAACATTACAGTGCTGGCCTCAGATTTTCCATTTTATGTTATTATTGGTATGGATAAAAGGAGCTGGCGGTGTCAAGGAAAAATGTCATGTTGAATCAATAGAAAAATTAAAAGAAAAATGATGTATGTGCTTTATTTAAAAAAAACATTTAATGTTTTCTGTAATGTATGTTTATAAAAATTTGAAAAGTTATTTATTCAAATATTTTATTATGCCTTAAGTTGTTGCAATGTGAAGGCAACATCAGTGGGTGTTAACCTGAAAATAGTTTTTATATTTGTATTAGAATAAGGCTGCACTATTGTATAAATGAAGTTGATTGAAGCAAAAAGGAAGATGTAGTTAGAATAACACAATGCCTACCTTAGTCACTCCCAAACCTGGTTTTAATCTAGTTTGGGTTAACAAAATGTCTGCCCCATTTATTCATAGCTTGCAGTACTCGTTTGTAGTATGAACATCATCATTTTTGGATTGTAACAGGAACATATTAAAAGACAAATTATGTGAACACCATTTAAAGAACAGTCGTCATATTTGGATGAAAATTTTTGCTGAACTATGCATGTTTGATGTCTGCACAGATATTAAGGATTTATTTATATTCACATTACAAAAAAAAATAATAATTCTTAGAAATGGAACCACATCAGATTTAACAGTTTTAAGCCATGAAAGAGAAGCTTATTTATTGTTTTCATGTTGTAAGAAGTAAAGTTGTATTATTTTTTGACATGTAAAACTTACATTTTTAAAAATATTTATCTGTTGTTTCAACTTCTTTAAAACAAATCTGATTTGTTTATTCAGACCTTTTAATAAAATCATGAAACGGCATCAATTAATGTAGATTCAGTATTTGGCCGTTATCACAGGATAATGATTGGCTCATGTGATGCAAGGGAATAGGCATCTACACCAAGATCACAGTTCTTGAGTGCTCTCCTCTGTTTACGCTTGCGCACAAGCCTGGCCAAGAAATTGGCATTTTACAACTGAATGATTTAGCAATTTATCATTTAATGCAATATTAATTTAATAACTAGTCTAGCTAGAGATAATTACATTAGTAATAATTTTTCTTGTATCGAATTAGATGGGATTTCATCTCATTGGGTGAGCACCACTAAGAATATAATTAGATGGTGTTTCAAATCTTTGAATAATTTATGCAAACTTGATATATGAGCCAGTTGCTTTGAGATTACAGTGTTGTAATGGAATAATGGATGTGGCTCCCCTTTGTGTTGTAAATTTTTTTTTTTCTTACAAAAAACAATAACACAAACAGTATTGTATACAGACATTTCATCTGTAGCACAATTTTTGTTTGTACATTTATGTACAGGAGTGTGTGGTGTGTATGTTAGTGTGCTTGTGTGAACAGACATGTAAAACAGTTGTGTGTACACAGAAGTCAAGCGTGGTGTGGACACAATTATTTTGCTCACGGACTTGTTAAGTGTGCAGTGTGAACTCTTGTATGGCTAGATAATCCTATTTGACAATTTCAGCATTATGTAACTGTGCCTATTTATTATGCTTATCACTGCAGTGCAATGTTATAATATTGTTTTAGAATTTTGTATGGCTTCTGATGTCTTAGTGAGGATATGATCTTTGAGTTAAAAATGAAAAGCTACAAATAAAAAGGCACACTAGTGGAGATCATTTTTTTTTTTATATTGGTTTTAATTATAATTGTATGAATGAAAAAAAGTTAGTTCTGAAGTCTTATTTAAAAAAAAATAAATGCTTATTTGGTGGTATAAAAGAACCAGAAAATATATATTGAATACAATATATTTGTGTGTTGAACACTACACTGGCGGGAAAGTGTTGGAACAATGATCACCTGATTAATGATAAGCTTATAGTTGGAAACGTTGTCTTTCAAAATATTGCCATTCACGCCACTTTCACCTGTTCATTTTGTAATCATCTGTCGCATTTACAGCCAAATATCACGTTGAGGATTAGCATGTCCATTTCTTTCACACATGACAATATTCATTATTTTTGTGACCGATTTCATATTAGAAGGTTTTTAAAGGTGGGGGTTGGATTGATTTTAAATTATGTGATTTATTTTTTAATTTAAAGCTAATCATCATATGATTTTTTTTGTAATTATTAAACTTATGTGCGACCACCCTCATAATTTTAGTAATTATAAAACTTATGTGCTACCACCCTCATAATTTTTGTAATTATAAAACTCAATTTTTATTATGTTTCAATGTTGTTAGTAGTCATAATGATCAATGTCCCATTGTATAATTTAAAGATACAATGAGACCACTTAAAAATGACATATTTATCTATATGTTGAAAACTGTAATGAATAAATTTTGCTTGTAAACTAGCAGGACATTGTAGTTACCTTATTTCAATATCATGTAATATAAACACCGTCCGCACAAGGTGTATAGTCAAGTAGATCAAATTAAAAATGAACATTTTAAGACTACCACCGAAAAAGGCCAAGTCAGCAACCATGAAATAAAGCAAAAAAATGAATGGAGACAAAGAGTAAACGAAAGCAAAAAATAATTTATTTTCTCTTCCCCTTTCCTTTGCCCCCCATTTCCTTTCCTTGCCTTTTAGCGTGTACAGTTTGTCTGTATTTCTGGAAGTTTTGAACTTTAGCCTTCACTCGTCTTTTCTTCAAAATCTGGTCTGCAGACTTCATACCACCAGTTTTGCCTAGTTTAAATTTCTGTTTATTTTGCTTGCTATCCCCTTCTGATCCTTTGGTATGCCCTGAAATAAACAGTAATAGTGTCATGTTAAACATTATGAAAGCAAATATTTAAATATACATAACCAGCTTAAATGTATTAAATTTAAAAAATATATTTAAATTGTTTCAGTTTCAGCTTTTTA